TGGAACTGCAAAACTTAATAATTCCTGAACTTTTGAAGTTTGAGATTCGGAAATTTAGAGATTTTTATGGCAGAAAGATTTGAGGCTTTGGAAATTTGGAATCTTGTGGGTATGAAATTTTCAGACTTTAGAACTTTGGAGCTTGGGAACTTGAAGATACTGAAATTAATAGTACTTGGGACTTTGGGAATTTGGAACTTTGGGACTTGGGGAGTTGGAGATATGGAAATCAATAGTGTTTGAGACTTTGGAAATTTGCAAATTTGGAACTTTGGATCTTTGGGACCTGGATATTTGGAGATACTGAAATCAATAGTATTTGGAACTTTGGTAATTCACAAATGTGAAACACTAAATTCTTCAACTTTGCAACTTTACAAGTCAGAAATTATTTAACCTCACAACTTTGAAATTTCACAACATATTTCTTTGAACTATTACTTCAAAATTTAAAAAGTGAACTTCCAAGAATAATGAGCAGTGTTAAAACTGTAAAAAACAATGCAACACATTAAACTGTCAAGTAATCATTGCATCACAAAACCTAGCGTTATCGAGATAAAGCAGCATTCATCGGAAGTAGAATTTTCAATGACTCATTTTTCCAATAAATCTCATTGATTAACTTATCAAAATGTTAAGAAGTACCGAACGACATAAATGTCAGAAAAACGATACGATAATGGTCACGAAATATACAATACATGCTCACCAGATGCAAACTAGGTTATTGCACAACAAACAATTCAATGTAATGTTTTTGTGTAACAAGCAACGATTCTGGAAATTTATCGCTCGTTTCGTAATTCGAGCTGAGAATTTCGATAATGTCTATCAGTTTTCCTTTCATGTTCCATGGTCGCTTTAGGGTGCTTAATCGTGTTTACATGTGGATTTTGCGAGCACGTATTTAGGGCAGTGAGGCACTCCATTCATGATTCTAAGATTTATTTGCCTTATTTTAAAAAAAATTTACAAATTTAGAAATTTACAAATTTACAAATTTACAAATTCCCAAACTTACAAATTCCCAAATTTCCAAATTCCCAAAGTTACAAATTCCCAAATTTACAAATTCCCAAATTTACAAATTCCCAAATTTACAAATTCCCAAACTCCCAAATTCCCAAATTCCCAAATTCCCAAATTCCCAAATTCCCAAATTCCCAAATTCCCAAATTCCCAAATTCCCAAATTCCCAAATTCCCAAATTCCCAAATTCCCAAATTCCCAAATTCCCAAATTCCCAAATTCCCAAATTCCCAAATTCCCAAATTCCCAAATTCCCAAATTCCCAAATTCCCAAATTCCCAAATTCCCAAATTCCCAAATTCCCAAATTCCCAAATTCCCAAATTCCCAAATTCCCAAATTCCCAAATTCCCAAATTCCCAAATTCCCAAATTCCCAAATTCCCAAATTCCCAAATTCCCAAATTCCCAAATTCCCAAATTCCCAAATTCCCAAATTCCCAAATTCCCAAATTCCCAAATTCCCAAATTCCCAAATTCCCAAATTCCCAAATTCCCAAATTCCCAAATTCCCAAATTCCCAAATTCCCAAATTCCCAAATTCCCAAATTCCCAAATTCCCAAATTCCCAAATTCCCAAATTCCCAAATTCCCAAATTCCCAAATTCCCAAATTCCCAAATTCCCAAATTCCCAAATTCCCAAATTCCCAAATTCCCAAATTCCCAAATTCCCAAATTCCCAAATTCCCAAATTCCCAAATTCCCAAATTCCCAAATTCCCAAATTCCCAAATTCCCAAATTCCCAAATTCCCAAATTCCCAAATTCCCAAATTCCCAAATTCCCAAATTCCCAAATTCCCAAATTCCCAAATTCCCAAATTCCCAAATTCCCAAATTCCCAAATTCCCAAATTCCCAAATTCCCAAATTCCCAAATTCCCAAATTCCCAAATTCCCAAATTCCCAAATTCCCAAATTCCCAAATTCCCAAATTCCCAAATTCCCAAATTCCCAAATTCCCAAATTCCCAAATTCCCAAATTCCCAAATTCCCAAATTCCCAAATTCCCAAATTCCCAAATTCCCAAATTCCCAAATTCCCAAATTCCCAAATTCCCAAATTCCCAAATTCCCAAATTCCCAAATTCCCAAATTCCCAAATTCCCAAATTCCCAAATTCCCAAATTCCCAAATTCCCAAATTCCCAAATTCCCAAATTCCCAAATTCCCAAATTCCCAAATTCCCAAATTCCCAAATTCCCAAATTCCCAAATTCCCAAATTCCCAAATTCCCAAACTCCCAAATTCCCAAATTCCCAAATTCCCAAATTCCCAAATTTTACTTAATTTTAAAATATTCTGTATAATCACTTCAGCAAAATTTACTCTTGCAAAGATTTGAAATATTTAATTTCTAACATTGGTTAGAATAAAAAAGGTACTCTTGAAAGTAATCGGACGTTCACCTACTTCCACTTTATCTTTATCTCCATTTCTATCTTTATCGTAACAGCGATAACCTCGACTCTATATATAAACCGACAAGGTTCGACAATGAAAAATTAGACCAATATTTTATAAGAAAAAACAATTCCTAAAAATACTCTTCCTTATTCGATTTAAACAGTTTTAAAAAATTGCATCTCCATTTTGCAAAAAGACTTAAAAATGAGAAATATAAAATGATCAAAAATTTGGTACGATAAAATTGTTTATGAAAGAAAATATATGGAAGTTTAAGATACGTTGAACTAACGAGAAAAACAACCCTTGATCGAAAGTGAAGGGTAACTCGAAAAGCCCTTTAATATTTAGGAGACACTCGTCTATTTCTAGTAGCTAGCTGCTCGTTGAGCATCGATCGTGTGCTCGGCTTTTTCCGTGTGAAAGAGAAGCGTTTATACCTACAGGCTCTTTCAAAAGAAATACGCATGATATGAAGCTTTGTGATGGACTATTTTACTATTTTATGGTAGTACAACTTTTCTATTTTATTATATGAAACTTTATTTAATGTAGATAGTTTACAAATTACTTCCTCAATTTCTAGAAAGAGTCAGATAAGTTCTACAAGTTTAAAAGAAATGCAAGAAATTTTAGAGCTGACATAAAAACTAGAGAAGGAGAGTCTTAATGAATTTTCAGAGAGTTGGGAAAATTATAGGGAATGTTTATGAATCTGAAGAAAAATGTAGAGTTTCTAGATTTAAAGGTTATCCATATTGGGCAAAATGACCTAACCTAACCACTTAGATGGCGTCTGAGTGGTTAGGTTAGTAAGTTAAGTTATTAAGTTAGGTTATTTAGTTAGGTTAGTAAGTTAGGTTAGTAAGTTAAGTTATTGAGTTAAGTTATTAAGTTAGGTTAGTAACTTAGGTTAGTAAGTTAGGTTAGTAAGTTAGGTTAGTAACTTAGGTTAGTATGTTAGGTTAGTAACTTAGGTTAGTATGTTAGGTTAGTAACTTAGGTTAGTAACTTAGGTTAGTAACTTAGGTTAGTAACTTAGGTTAGTAACTTAGGTTAGTAACTTAGGTTAGTAACTTAGGTTAGTAACTTAGGTTAGTAACTTAGGTTAGTAACTTAGGTTAGTAACTTAGGTTAGTAACTTAGGTTAGTAACTTAGGTTAGTAACTTAGGTTAGTAACTTAGGTTAGTAACTTAGGTTAGTAACTTAGGTTAGTAACTTAGGTTAGTAACTTAGGTTAGTAACTTAGGTTAGTAACTTAGGTTAGTAACTTAGGTTAGTAACTTAGGTTAGTAACTTAGGTTAGTAACTTAGGTTAGTAACTTAGGTTAGTAACTTAGGTTAGTATGTTAGGTTAGTAACTTAGGTTAGTAAGTTAGGTTAGTAACTTAGGTTAGTAAGTTAATAAACCTAACTTAATAACCTAAGTTAAGTTATTAAGTTAGGTTATTAAGTTAGGTTAGTAAGTGAGGTTATTAAGTTAGGTTATTAAGTTAGGTTAGTATGTTAGGTTATTAAGTTAGGTTATTAAGTTAGGTTATTAAGTTAAGTTATTTAGTTAAGTTATTAAATTAGATTATTAAGTTAGGTTATTAAATTAGGTTATTAAGTTAGGTTAGTATGTTAGGTTAGTAAGTTAGGTTATTAAGTTAAGTTAGTAAGTTAGGTTATTAAGTTAGGTTAGTAAGTTAGGTTAGTAAGTTAGGTTAGTAAGTTAGGTTAGTAAGTTCCCATAAAAATAATATTGAAGGTCAAACACAACATCAAACGATTTGTACTTGATTTTAACAGTGCTATCCTAACAAAATACGTCTCTTTTGAAGCACCCTGTACATAGTAGCGAGAAAACGGCTGAGAAAAAGACAAAGTCCGAGCCGGTCTAGCGAAGATGCGAAAGAGACAGCGAGATCACGTATCTTTTGCGAGGACGCGGGAGCAAGGGGCTGAAAGGTTGTCAGGGTCAAGGTTAAGGCAAACCACTCTTCCCTTTCTCAGTCATTCTCCGCTGTCTCTACTCGGTGTCATGTATAAGTTACTTACTTAAGCGACTCAGTGTCAAGGGTCGGTGAACCCCTCACTGATTCCGCCCGCCATCACCTACTTTGCGCGCGAAAATTCAAATTCACCGACGTACACGTGGAACACCTATTAAGTACACACGTAAGGAACACGTATTAAGACATGTTTTTTTAAAGTAAACGAAAAGATGCATAGTTTATGTATGCGAAAATTTGTAATGTTCTGTTTACAAAACAAGTTCATTATCTCGGGAGATATGGAACTTAAGATTACGTGTTCGTGTAAATATTCTGGTGAAATTGAAAAATAGCAAAGGACAGTTTTAAAGTACGACGCATTTCAAAAGGATCATGAAATTTTGATGCGTTTATTTACATGAGAAAAAGAGCGTTTTGAATTTTAATATATTACGTAAAATAGAAATGTAAAATGCATTAAGTTTTATCTTTATGGAAGGAAAAGTTGAGTTGTTAGAGAAAATATATTCAACTAATTTTACTGGTTAATAAGATTATTTATATTAGCATTAATATCGGTACTTGCAAAACGAAAATATTTAAAATATCTAACATGCTAAAATATTTCGAATATGTAACATGATTGTAACCTGTAAAAAACTTAAAATATGTAAACATACAAAAGATAAACAGTTAACAATGTATTCATTTGGAATAAGTTGCATCTTGATATTACTATCAATGTTTTTACTCGAACTTACACGATAACGTATCATGCAGATAAAGAGAAATTGAAACACGTGTGCAGAAGGTAGAAACGTAAGAAAATATTTACATAAGCTGAAAGTAAAAAATGTAATTATTATAATAGCATTTCAGTAGTAAGTGAAAAAGACAACCTTTAATTTCTTAGATTTCCCTAAGGTGCAGAAAAACAAATTTTTCTATGTGAAATTGCAATTTTCTGTTTCCGGCAATATAACGAGAGACTATTTAAAAATTACGGGAAACATAATAAAAATTACCCAAAGGTACAATTAGTACCTGCACAAGTGTATTTTCTATGTACAATTACAAATTTTCTGCTTTCGGCAATATAACGAGAGACTATTTAAAAATTACGGGAATCATAATAAAAATTACCCAAAGGTACAATTAGTAACTGCACAGATGTATTTTCTATCTACAATTACAAATTTTCTACTTTCGGCAATATAACGAGAGACTATTTAAAAATTACGGGAATCATAATAAAAATTACCCAAAGGTACAATTAGTACCTGTACATGTGTATTTTCTATGTACAATTACAAATTTTCTGCTTTCGGCAATATAACGAGACACTATTTAAAATTTACGGGAAACATAATAAAAATTACCCAAAGGTACAATTAGTACCTATATAGGTATATTTTCTATGTACAATTTCAAGTTTTCTGCCTTTCGGCCATATAACGGGAGTTTCCCAAAATTGTTGAGAAAATAAAAATTTGTCAATTTTCAAACAATTTTTTTGATTGAAAATTGATAAAGTTTCGATAAGAAATTAGAACAATTTTTATAGGCACGTTGATAATCAGTTTTCCCGCGTTTCAGTATCTTTTAAGTGAAAGATTGCGTCAGAAAAGTATCACGCTTAATTCATGTGGATTGAACCGTGCAATCAACCGAATAAACGACCGATACTATTATATTAAAAGAATGAACCGAGATAAAGAGGCGATAATGTCTCCTCGAAATTACTTACAAAATATGTTGAATATCTGGTTCACATTTTCACGGGCGGTTGTCGGTAGAAAATCTCGCGGTCAGAACACACATGCCCGATAAATGAGTGTATGGTGGAGAATGTTTAATTCGATGCAGCCTTGAAGCTTTTTATTTGCCACGTGGTCCAGTTAGCGCTGATAATCCAAACGAGCTAAGCAAGATATATCATAATCTTACAACTTTTATTTCCTCGTTTATTGCAGACTTCCCAATACATTGTAGAAATCATTTACATTACGATTTTTCAACGTTTGATTACGTTAGTTTATAGAACAGTGACGTCGTTAGAGCTTCGGGCGCCCTGGTCGACATTTTTGTTAACTTGGTGTTTGTACATTTTTGGTATATTGAATTCTTAGATATTTTTATGTATTCTTAGGTTTGCGAATTTTGTAGTTGTAAATTGTGCATTTCCTAAATTTTCAAATTTATGAATTTACAAATTTGTAGATTCTTAGATTCCTGAATTCTTAAAGTCCCATATATCCAAACTACCTAATTCCCCATTCCTTAAATTAACGAATTCTCAAACTCTCAAACCCCTAAACTCTCAAATTCCCAAACTCCCAAATCCACAAACTTTCAAATCCCCAAACTCCCAAGTCTCCAAACTCCTAAATTCTCAAAGTCCCATATTTCCAAACTCCCTAATTCCCCACATCTTAAATTCCCAAACTCTCAAATCCATAAACTCTCAAATCCTTAAACTCCCAAATCCCTAAACTCTCAAGTCCCCAAGCTCCCAAGTCTCCAAACTCTCAAATCCCCAAACTCCCAAGTCCCCAAACTCCTTAATTCCCAAACTCCCTAATTCCCCATTTCTTAAATCCCCAAACTCTCAAATCCCTAAACTCCCAAATCCCTAAACTCCCAAGTCCCCAAGCTCCCAAGTCTCAAAACTCTCAAATCCCCAAACTCTCAAGTCCCCAAACTCCTTAATTCCCAAACTCCCATATCTCTAAACTCCCTAATTCCCCATTTCTTAAATCCCCAAACTCTCAAATCCCTAAACTCCCAAATCCCTAAACTCTCAAGTCCCCAAGCTCCCAAGTCTCCAAACTCTCAAATCCCCAAACTCCCAAGTCCCCAAACTCCCAAACTCCCTAATTCCCCATTTCTTAAATTCCCAAACTCACAAATCCCTAAACTCCCAAATCCCCAAACTCCCAAATCCCCAAACTCCCATATCTCCAAACTCCGTAATTCCCCATTTCGTAAATTCCCAAAACCTCCAAATATCCAAACCTACAAATTACAAAGGAAATGACAAACTGAAACAACAAAGGAAAACGCGCAAAACGATACTAGGAAATAATCAGAAAGATCCAGAAACGGTGACTCGAGATACAAAGTTTAAATTACAAAAATGGAAATAGATCTACGCAACTCGAAAAGCACTCAGCAAAACTAGTATGCTTACTCACGCCATTCGAGTGTATCTCGTGTTCTGCTGTGTCAGTGACATTGTATCATGCTGTTCTATGGTTACGTGTTGTCACACCCTGAAAACATTACACGAGATCACTTCTTTTTTTCTCTCTTCTTTTATAAAGCAGATTGCGTTGGCCAAAAAAAGCGATTGACAAGTAACTCTGTATGTATAGATATCGCAGGAAAGTTGCATCACGTTGGACAGATATACGTCACTGTTGCCATATGATGTTATCATGATTTGCTTCGGAAGAAATATATGTAGTTTCATGGAAGTGGTCTGACTTAACCTTTCAGTTGCGGGTGAAATTATTTTGATGACATGGAAATAAAGTGTTGAGTATTAGTTTGAAACTTAGTATTTGAGGAAAATAACTAAGTTGTTATATTATTAATCTGTGAATTAAATGGCTGACTGTATTGAACAATTAGCTAATTTTTAAATACAGTCAGACATTATTTGATGACATAAAAGTAACACAAAATGGCGATTGTTGAGTGTCAATTTGAAGCTCAATATCTGAGGAAAATAGCTATTTTAAAACAATAAAATAATTACTATATTAATCTTCAGGCTAAAATAATTGTTATATTAATCTTCAAACAAAGTGGCTGACTCTGCAGAACAAATAGCTGATTTCTAAATACAGTCAGACATTATTTGATGACATAAAAGTAACACAAAATGGCGCCTGTTGGCTGTCAGTCTAAACCCTAATATTTGAGGAAAATAGCTAAAGTGACTATTATATTATTCTTCAAACAAAATGGCTGACTCTACAGAACAAATAACTAATTTCTAAATACAGTCACACATAATTTGATGACATAAAAGTAACACAAAATGGCGACCATGAACCATCAACTTTGAGTCCAAGACTTAATAAAAATGTCTACAACAAAATTTCATTAATACTCCTTAAAAAAAAGTCTGCCAATTGAATTGTAGTGAAACATCTGCTAAATTGTCAATTTTTAAGAATAAAACTTCTCACCTGATTTGATGACATAAAAGTATCACAAAATAACACTTATGCCATATCAACTTACAGCTTAATCTTCATTAAAAATGACTGCATAAATGCTCCTCTGATATTTTTAAAACAAAATGGCTGATTATGTACTAATATTCTAAATATCTGACATGATGCAGTGTCATGGTCTTCTATTTTGGTAAAAAAGGTTGTATTTAAATTTCAATGGAAAATTTATTTTAAACAGAACGAGGTGCGAATGTGATATTTTGAGAACCTTCATTGTCAAATGATGTTCAACGTCAATACATTTATATTGAAATGCAGCTTAGAATTTCTATGGATGTTTCCTACACACCTTTAACCTCGATCTTATTTTCAAAATTAAAAATTCAGAAATCTCCAAATTTAACGCGATAGCTTTACTTAATAACTATTAAGTATCTTTTGGAGGTTCCTTAAATTTATCAACGTTAATTTTAATTTTTACCACTCCAAAAAAACATAATCGATTTGCAAAGAGTTAACAGCAACGTAACAGTAAATTGCAATAATTTCGTCGTGTTTATTCGTAAATCAATTTACGAGCTTCACCGAAAGCACACTTTGAATACATTGAAACTCTCGTTTATCTCGTATCGCTTTGTTAAACAGAGTTCAGAGGAAGAACGGACCGCGAAGATCAGCTATTTTTCACCGCACCGAACACCACAACAAATTTTCCTTGCTATCCCCTCCGTGAAACCGTCGCACAAAGCTGTTGTTTCATCGAATTTGCATGAAAAGACTGCTTATCTGACCAATATATTTTACCCCGTGAGGCGAACACCGTTTTCAACCCCACTCGAGTTGTTCCCCAATCATGGAGGGAGATCGCAAGCCATATAAAAGTGTGACAGATACGTGGACATGTATTCAGTGCAAATTCTCTTCTGTCGAGGGAAACGTGTGTTTATCTGCCGGCAGGTTCAAAGTTCGACAAGCATTTATTACTGAAAAACCATCACTACCATTTTCCGAGGAGTCAACAGATTACGAAGGAACTTTCGAACAAAGGTTGGTACACTCATCGGCGTAGCACGCTATCCTAGGGAGACGATTTAGGGAATGAAAATTGCATCATTTTATGAGAAATTACGTATGTTCATTTTTTCTTAGATAATTTCAGTGTTAAGGGTATTAAAGCTTTGAAAATTGTTAAGTTATTCGAGTTAGTTTATGAAAAGTGAAAATACTATGACGCCATTTTGTTTGAAAATGCCGGTGTACACTCTGACGCAACGTAGACTTCTTTTAGATAATCGTAAGAATTAATGTGCAAGCCAAAAGTTTCAATTTTTAGTTTTAGGATTTTTTTATGTTTTATAAGTAACAAATTATGGATGAATTTATAAACTTTTCAATAAGAAAGCTCCTAAGAGGTACCCAACCTAAACTTACTTAACTTAATCATACCTAACCTTGTACCTAACCCAGTACCTAACCTAGTACCTAGCTTAGTACCTAACCTAGTACTAAATCTAGTATCTAACCTAATACCTAGCTTAGTAGCTAACCTAGTACCTAATCTAGTACCTAACCTAGTACCTAATCTAGTACCTAACCTAGTATCTAACCTAATACCTAGCTTAGTACTTAACCTAGTACCTAATCTAGTACCTATCCTAGTATCTAACCTAATACCTAACTTAGTACCTAACCTAGTATCTAACCCAATACCTAACTTAGTACCTAACCTAGTATCTAACCTAATACCTCGCTTAGTACCTAACCTAGTACCTAATCTAGTACCTAACCTATTATCTAACCTAACACCTAGCTTAGTACCTAACCTAGTATCTAATCTAATACCTAGCTTAGTACCTAACCTAGTACCTAACCTTTTACCTTAAGTTTGCGTCACAACCAAGTAACATTATACATACAAACGTTATCTGTAGAAATGTTGATTACAAGAGTCATGTTGATGTTGCGTTATCCGAGTTTTATATAACAACTTTCGAATCCCTTTTACTATCGCAGCCGATTATTTTTCTAACGATAGTTGTTAAAATCATGCGATAATTGTACATTAATATACACGCCATACTAATTATTTATTTAACATAATGCTAAAATAAAATGGCAATTTGTTTTTGTCAAAAACATGATTCTAACGTTTTATTCTAGAGTGAGTATAATAGTTAAATATACCCAATGACTCGTCTATGAATCATATATACATAAAACTGTTTTCAAAAATTTTTAGAAAAATCCACTTTTTTATTGCAGTTATAAACCCATGAATATATTTAATTATTAAATTTTGACATAATTTAAATTTATTTCTGATTAAAATGAACGATTAATAATTAATATTATCAATATTTTAAATAAAACACAAGTTCGAATTAAACCTTTGTTACAAATAACCTTCATTCATTTGTTGCAATAATTAATATTTTGTCAGCCAAAGAAATTGTACATCTTCTAACATCTACAATTACAAGCTCCTATTTTACTTTAATAAAATTGCACATTTGTTACATCATTATTCTCTGAATTAATTTTCAATAAGTTTTTTTAAACTTAAACAGAATGATATAAAGATTTTTTGTAAAAAAAAAATCGTTATATAAAAAGCTTGAAAAGTTTCTAAAGGTAACGTTTTATTTGAAGGTGACGAGAAGACACGTGCGAAGAAGGAAAACAACGTGGAGTCCATTCGAATTGAATTGAATTCCGCGCCAACCGTCGTCTCCCGGGTAATCGAGCGTCACGTGACCCGAAATTAACCGAAGCGAACACGAAGACACCGAGGTTATAAATAGCGGCCACCAGGGAGCGGGCAGTCTCTTTTACTTTCCATAGTGGATCACAGTGCATTTGCTCCGCGCTTGGCCGACTATTAAGTTCCGTGGTGTGATTGTGTTAGGGTTCGCTCGTGCGAGGCTAAAGTAGGGTGTAGAGGTCGGAGCGAATTTCCTCTTCTTCAAAAACTGTTAACGACACCGAGGGTGAGGTAGCCGTGAACGGTACCGCAACACGTGGCCAAAGAGTTCGAATCGCGGACGAAATTGACGAGAATCCCTCAACGACGAGCGCGAAAAGAAGGAAAATGCCGGAGACTGCTCACCACATGAACGGATACGCGAACGGGCACACGCCGCCCGAGCTGCAACAGGATACCAGTTTTCTCTTCACTTCGGAGTCCGTTGGCGAAGGACATCCAGGTAGATAATCGAAAAATCATCCCTTCGTCTCATGACTAACACGTATTTCGACTGATCACCTGCGACTTCGTTTCGACTTTCCGTGTCGGTGAGTTGCATGTGCCGCCATGAAACTCGATGAACGGACCACACGCATTGGATGCGCGCGCACGCCGCGATTTTACCCTTCCTTTCGCGTTTTCTTCTTCTTACTTTCCTTAAAAGCTTCGTAACGCACGGATTGTGTTACATTCAGCCGAGCTGGTTGCTTGCATCGTTTTATTCGAGTCCTCAGAGCATCGAGCAACAACGAGGTTAACCAAAAGACCACGAACATGCTCTTAATTAATTGCTCGGGGACAGGAAGCGAGCTCCTCCGGCGTCGCCATGTGCTCTTCTTACATTGTAATTTGATGTAGGCTCAGTTGGAGCAAATTGATGTACCCGTTCCATGCACTTGAATAACTTTTCATGAATAAATATTAATACCAATTTTTAGGTTCTAACAATTTATTCTGGTTTTAAAAACTACTTGGACTTTATACGTTTAAAAACAGTTAGTAATGCTTCTCTGTAAAATGATATTTGCATTGTTCAACCTCATGGATAGAGTATGTGATTCATACGATAAGGGTTTGATAAAGAGGATTACGTATTACAAATGCAAATCTTTCCCGCTCAATTAAAATTGTTAACTCATTGATGATTACAACTTGTTATAGAAAGAATGACTCCCACGTCTTCTGTTGCATTATCAACACTTTGACCCCTACTTTGGATCATTCCCAACATGAACATATAAAATTATAAAATAAAAAATGCGAATAGAAAACAAGAGAAATTCTTAAACACAGAATATGTTCATAGACAATAAATATTCATTTATTTACACTTTACTAGAAATGTTTGGATAATAAAGAAATAGTTATGAGTTAATGTAATTGAAACTACACATTAATTTGTTCGTATCAATGAAGTATGGATAAGCAGAGCTTGATTCTATAAAAAGTAAATGATGGCGCTTTAGGGAAACTATGTCTATATGTTTATTACATTTTTTAAACTTTTCTTAATGCAGTATACCTCATATTATTTCTAATATTGCTATTTTTATATTATCCTCATTAAAATTTCTTTTGTTATTTCCAGGTACGTAGTTCCTGACAATAAAAATGAAAAAGAAACATTGTATTGCATAGTAACAGGCAGAGTTGGATATGTTTGCAAGTCCGATATCATTAGGCTGCAGAGGACATGTTCTTAAAAATATCCCTTCCTTTAAATAACTAAAAAGGATCATTAGGAAATAGGGAAAATCATCATTACTATGATAACTAATTCAGAGAAAGGAAAACTTTCTGTTACAATACACTTTTGTAACAGAATATACATAATATTTAAACAATTATTTATAAAATATCATTTTCTAGTCATATTTTGAACATCTAAATGTTTGTAGATATTGAGATACAATTGATATTTCATTATGCTCCATGCATCAAAATGCCTCAACTTTCCTTACAAGATATTCTATAGGTTTCTCTTTGTACTTTTATTCTCGACCTTTGCTTTGACCTACGTATCGATCATGCGATTTTTCAATCTTCATCATGAAACGCATATTCGCTTTTTACATCATTTTTGCGTTTAACTGAAGTAAACCCTTACTCTGGTCGATTATTTTCTAGTCATAAATCGTCCATTGATTTATTATTTTCTTTTGTTTTAACTGAAATCGTTTGTTGATATAACCTAAAATAACAACCGAACAATTTGATAAGATGTTCACATGCGTGCGTGAGTTTGCTCTAGAAATAAATTGGTAATTTCAGTCACGAATGAATGCCATGGCGAAACTTTTTCACACGTATTTCAATTGTAAAGCAATTAACGATGTAATGTGTATTTGATTATGCAATTATTTTTAGAGGTTGCGTGTGTGTGCGTATGCGTGTGTACATTGGCGAGCATAGATATCTTCTCTAATAGGGGAAGGGGAATGTAGAGAATTATAAGGATAGAAGGGGCCTCCCTACCACTCGCCCAACCTACACATGTACATTATGTATGCATGTATATAAGTTTATACATACAGGATGTCTCTGTATCAACAAATAATGGTATTATCTTAGCAAAGACACCCTGTATGTGCATCTTAAAATTTGTATACTTTCTCATATACAATTAATGACTTGAAAATAAGTTTTTAGTAATGTTGTAATTGTGTGTTCAAATTTTTGTTGCAGATAAAATGTGTGATCAAATAAGTGACGCAATTTTGGACGCACACTTGCAGCAGGACCCTGATGCAAAAGTGGCTTGTGGTAAGTTTTTGTAAGAGAGAAGTTTATGCTATAACAACAACTTATAAGTTGGATAGTATACAGTTGAACTGATTTCAAAACATAAAGTTGTATTTTATATAACATAATTTTTGTGTTGTATCTTCTAATTATACAGAGACAGTGACAAAGACAGGGATGGTATTATTGTGTGGTGAAATCACATCGAAAGCTGTGGTAGACTATCAGAAAATTGTTCGAGACACAGTTAAACACATTGGATATGACGATTCGTCGAAAGGTAATAATTTTTGTTCGTTCTTTGTGCTCCTTCTTCTCAGTGATGTATGTTTGACCAAACCCTTTGATACCCTTGAAATTTTGTTAAATTTATTTTATATGTACATTTAAAACATTTAAAATTTTCCTTGCTAACATATGAAATTTTCTCCTTCTATGACATACGCATGCCCTGTGGCCGGATGAAAACTTTGTTATCTAATCCCTCGTAAAATTCGCCTCATTTGGTTCTTTAGAATCTAATTTTACAATTACACGGTCGAATCATGGCACGAAAGCTTCCAGCACTACGTTTAAACTTTACAATGATTACTGTATTTATCCGGTGAATTGTTTTTTTAATATGGCGTGTATTTATATAATGAAAGGATGTGCTTTACGCTACATACAATTTAACAAAATGTTGGAGAATATTCCATGACTCGATCGATTGGGTGACCAATATCCTGTTCATTATCTTTCGGAAAAGAATAAGTAAAAGAACACATATGAATATGTAACGTAAGCATATCATGATCGTGGCAGGATTCGATTGGCGTACGTTGAACCTTTTGGTGGCGATCGAACAACAATCTCCAAATATCGCTGATGGTGTTCATGTGGACAGGGAAGAGAAGGACGTGGGTGCAGGTGATCAGGTACATAACCCATTCTCAGCCCGTGCCGCAGAGCAGCCACATAATTCAATAACATTCTTTTTACCTTTTTTTTTTAATTTTTTTATGTTTTTTTTTTCTTTATGTATTATTTTTTAAATTCCTTTACCCTTTCCCTTCCATCTTATACCATATTTTGTGGAGTTTTTATAACATGAACCTCCTCGTGTTATGTATGAATGTGTGAAGAATCTATGTATGTAAATGAGTGTTGCTGTTGTCCAAATACTTACTCTGTGTTGTAAGATTTAAAAATATTCATATTATATTACACAGTTTAACATAAATAATGCCAATGATATAGTAGGAATTTCATGAATATCATGATTGTGATTTTTATCACAAGATATGTTGAAACATTTAGTAACATGATTTATTTCATACACATACAATTTTGATTGGGCTTTAATTTACATAATGCGATAACTAAAGAAAATTAGGTAGGAATAATTATTTTTAATTTCCATTAAAATGGTGCAATAATGCTGAAAAGATAGTATTGAAAATTTCTACTACTTAAAAAAAGCACAGTAAGCTCTGGATATAAGACATTAAAGCACAGAATTCCGTGAAGCAGTGTCCACTTTCGTGGAAACGAACATTTTTATCTTATTCATGTAATTTCTACAGGTTTTGACTACAAGCTCTGCAGTGTACTATTGGCGCTTGATGCCCAGTCACCAAATATTGCAGCAGGAGTTCATGAAAACCGTAGTGATGAAGAAGTGGGAGCGGGAGATCAGGTCATTTAGCATTCCGATCATACACTTCAAATTCTTCCTCTTTTTCTTCTTCTTTATGTTTTCTCTAATGCTAGATATAGCTTTGTAGCTTTGTAATTAACATGTATACTCTTAGTTGTATTCTTCCTACTTCTAGATTTTGTCTAATATCTAAATGCAATGCTTTTACATTCCTACTGTAGATACATGTAGTAATCTAGATGTTGTTATCCTGCATTTCATGTTTTCATCATGTACATACTCTGTTATCTGATATGCTAGTTTCTCTTTAATGCCTAGAATTGATTATGGTAAAGGCATGAATATTTCTTTAGAATTTATTTTTTGTTTCTTTTACAAGCTTTTTCTTCTTCTCTTTATTCTGTTAAAAACATCATCTTACTTTCATTATCAATATGTGATATAGGGTACTACTCCCTATACAAAGCAGCAGTAAGCTGTAACATCTCTTATATTCTGCATTCTGTAGTTTTACTTTCTAGATATATAAGCTATTTAGGAAGTAGCTGTTGGGCTTTTTAGTACACACTTTACATGGTTGATTGTATGCACAATGAATATGAAACATTTAGACACACCACTGAGATTTTTTTTAATATTCTTCATTGGTTTTACTGGCACCAACTTAAAACATGTATTCAATTATTTACATTCAGCATTATTCTTGTGTTTAAGCCACTGTATATAGTAATATTAATCAGTTATTTTTGCAAATGAGGTAATAAATTTTTAGGTATCGTTAAGTTCATTTTTAAAAGTTTTATCCCAATGTTTTTAACACTTTTTGAAGATTTTATTTTAATAAAATAATGATATTGGAGTGTATGTTGCAGACGGTATAATATAAGTAATACAAATTCCTGAATAATTTAACATATTTATCCTATACTATTTCTTAACAATTCTGCTCTGTGTAACGCGTTTTTTTTTTGCACACGTAAAATAACCCATTGTAGTACATTGTAAGGTATAGTTGCTAATTATATCTTCAATTTGCATATGCTGTATGTACTTTGTGCCCTTTATTAACGCTTGACTCCTCTTATTATGAACTTACATAATCGCAAATTAATTAAAGACATTGATTAAATCTATCTCCTGCTTCAAGTTTAAATCTCATAAATTTTAGCTGGAATAACTCAAATTCTTCTATCAGGGTCTGATGTTTGGATATGCAACAGATGAAACCGATGAATGTATGCCATTAACTGTTGTGTTGGCACACAAGTTAAATCAAAAAATTGCCAAGCTAAGGCGAAGTGGTGAATTATGGTGGGCGAGACCGGATTCAAAAACACAAGTATGTATTATGAGATTAATCGAATAACATTTTCATTACAAATATTAAGATTATTCAATGATGTTCCAATAGTATTTGCTACTCTTGAATGCCATGATGTTAACAACACTACTGAGAATAATCATATTGTAATTTCATTTTTCTTCTTAAGATATAGTAGTTGATAGTTATCTGATACGATTACATTTGTAAATCAGGTCACTTGCGAATACGTAATGGATCATGGTGCCTGTGTACCTATCAGAGTTCATACAGTAGTCGTATCGTTACAACACAGTGAAAAAATTGGTTTAGAAGAATTACGGAAGGCAGTTATGGAGAAGGTTATCAAAGAAGTAATTCCAGCAAGGTACCTTGATGACCGAACAATCTTCCATGTTAATCCATGTGGATTATTTATTATCGGTGGACCACAGGTAAGCATTTAGGCTCCCTGTGCTACATTCAAGTGAATTATACACATCAAGTTTAACAGTAAACTTCCTCTTACAGAGTGATGCTGGTCTTACTGGTCGTAAAATAATAGTCGACACTTACGGCGGTTGGGGAGCTCACGGTGGTGGTGCGTTTTCTGGTAAAGATTTCACAAAGGTTGATAGATCTGCCGCTTATGCAGCAAGATGGGTTGCCAAATCTTTAGTGAAAGCTGGTCTATGCAGACGCTGCCTCGTACAGGTACATATTCATTAATAATGTGATCACTGTTATTAATGAAAAATTTGTTACAACTGAAACATTTAATTTTCCAGGTCTCTTACGCCATCGGTGTAGCGGAACCTCTCTCAATCACAGTATTTGACTATGGTACATCCAAATTATCTCAAAACGAACTCTTAAATATAGTTAATAAAAATTTCGACTTACGACCCGGAAAAATTGTGAAGTAAGTATATTTTTCAATTATATTCTGCATTTGGATGCTTCGTTACCAAATTAAAAACTTTGTAAGGAATTAGTAAACACAGCAAGGTGTAATTTTTTTTTAGAGAATTGAATCTTCGTAATCCTATTTATCAACAAACCAGTACGTATGGTCACTTTGGTCGGGAAGGATTTACTTGGGAACAGCCAAAAACTTTAATTCTCGATTGATGAGAGTGTAAAGTTTAAATAGGTTTGACGTTTTTTTATCTCGAAAACGTCGATCAACTCGCTCTCAAATAATCTTATATCTCGTAAACGTTTGTCCGAGATTTTCCAACTTCCGCGCTACATTCGCCAAGTCTATCGATTCCTTTTGCCAACTTAGTACATACTAGCAGGAATAACAACACTAGATTTTTTCCACAACATGAGATATTTGGTATTACGTGGTATATAGTACAAATTTTGTTGTCCCAGTTGCGCTGACGAAGACACAGTCATTTATTTCCTTCATAATTTGGAAAATGAATAAATAGCTCTATCGATCATTAGGTGTAAATGAAAACTCGACAAAGGGAAAGGTGAATAATGAACCTGTTATTTGTGAGTCTGTTGCCTATGTGCGTTTGTTAATCACGTACCATATTTTATTTGCCAATAGCACGACTCATTACTATGGCTTGTAAGTGATGTGTGTTGGAAGTAGAAATGATAAAAGGAACAACAATATCATGGACGAGACAATGTTCCGTTATTGAAAAAAAAAAAACGAAATATATAAATTGGCAGCGTCGGGCGGTGCCTCTAAGCAAAAAACATTTGAGATGAAAATGTTCACTCAAATTTTTAGCGGTATTAGTACTTTATCGTAAACGTACATGAAAGTCTCGCCAGATTTGCTTTTAAAAGTGTGAATGTAATATTTTAATAACCTGTGTTTACCTTTCCCAGCAATTTTAGTCAATAACGGTAATAATAACGACGCTTTCATGTACGTTTCCCAATTAGAATTATTAATCGTTCGAGTGCAAACGTAAACTGGTAATAATTATGTACATTAATTTTAGCAAAGTGGGAAAATGGAAACAATCGAAGTGACCAATTAGGAAACGAACTTACATATTAGTTTTCATATTGTTTATAACCTCTCTACGCCTACAATGCAATATAATATATTGATCAGAGGTTAATAGTATCGCATTTATTTAAATCTGTTTGTTCGTTCAAATTTATTACCTATCTTTTTAATTATGTGTTTCAATTTAAATAATTACGGTACTATCAACTCATATATTTATATATACACATACATACACACACACACACACACGTTTCCCTCTTTGCTCTGTTTGAATAGATAATTGTAATAGATCAAGCATGACCAAGTGGTGGCTCACGAGTCAGCTATCATCCCTATTTTCTTACTTCACTGATACCTATTTTTCAAATTTTCAAGTTCACAAATTGTCAGCTTTCCAAATCCTCAAATTTGAAAATTTGAAAATGAGGTTATAGGCAATATAACGGGAGTCTATTGTACCTAAAATCATCTGTTAGGGACGTGTAGCTACTGGCACGGAGACACTTGATCATGCCTGTTAATAGATATTGTCAATCTTGCAATGTATAGCAAATAATAATGTAAAACTGAATACGAGACCTTATTTTATAGAGGTCCAGTACAGGTCGTGTGGCGGAGCTCGAAAGTTATTTTTTCAATTTGTAGTGTGAAGATCCTGTGACACTATAACGTTTTAAACATCGGCAAAGATGTAAATGAAATTTAGTGATTTCCTTCTGTTAGATTGATGTAATGATCTATCGTGTAATGGTATTGGCAGTGTGTAAAAATGCACAAGATCATCGTATGCAAGTCATAATAAAAAGGATTTTTTAATAAAAAATACCAGATCGTTATTTATTTTTACTCTTTTTTTGTTTCCATGCTGTATTATTAGTTAGTAACTGATCCTTAAAGTTCCTCGATAATAGAATCTTATAATTTTAAAAATAAGTACGCATAGTGTTTGTACACACTGTACAAACTTTTCAAGTTCACAGAGCTCTGTTACACAATAAACTGCGATTAGTTGTAATGAAATATTAATAAATCATTTTTATACGCATTTCATAACAACTTGTTCTTTCTCGATGGTAATGTGTAATACTTTATTTGGAAAGAATCCTTTACGTGTGTTATGGTTTGTACATTTGAATTTGTTGGAGCAATTAGCTAATTAAATTGATGTGTAACGAAAATAGTACCATGTTATATAAACATAGAAACAATTTTTTTCTGTGAACATAGTAATTTTAATCAACTGATGTACTATGTACATATTACTTGTATTATTACATTATAATAAATCCTTAATACACTAATCATCGGCTACTAACGTTCCAATACACTGCCTAGAAAGCAGAAGAAATTCCAACGACATCATTTTTAGTATAAGTAACAAAATGATAAACAGTTGTACAAATTTATGTCCCTGACTTTAATAAAAACACATGGCGTATAAAACATATTGACAAAATAGATACAACTTTCTGAAACTGTAGTCCTTTTTACAGTAAATTGTAATATCGGTTAGAACAGAAAGTCCTATGTAATCTTTCATAATAGGCTTTGTAGATATATAATATTGCATAAAATCAAACCAATGTAATAGATAAAAGTAGTTTGTTTTTACAATTTTGTGTATTTAAAACATTCTATTACAAATACGACGCATAGATAAAATATGTTACCGCAAATAAACTGTTTGTTGCACGGCGTATTTATAACATTATAATATTCATAGTTTAAATGTAAGAAAAAAGAATAAAAAGATGATTAAGTTTTTCATTAAAGTATATTTTGTTCTTTGTTAAATGCCTTCTTCAGCCTAATTATAGACATTACACAATCATTATTTACATACAAAATGTCTTTCTCTTATCCTAAAAATTTAACCGGGATTAATTAAAACGATACAAAAGTATATATAACATGTTTAATTTATATCTCTATAATTAAAGTTATATACACAGAGGTACATTAAAATTATGTATAATATAAATGTCATGAAAGTACGTATAAGAAAATAATTTTGTATAAAAAGAAAATGTTCTGTTTGACGAATATTATCACTAATCTATAGTTTCAATAAAATACGTAAGTTACCGAAACATGATTTAACACCATATAATATAATATATTTACATAATTATACTTGACGCATTCAATAAATCTAATTGTAAATTGTAAATGAAATTTTGCAGCAAAAATTTTATATACAATTTTAACAAAATGTGCATTCAAAATGTAAAGTGTACAATGATAATGTCTTCCAATAGCTTGATGCTGAAATTGAAATCCAAAATATAAATACATAGATACACATGCTTAAAATTATTCAATAAATTGTTAGTACATAATTATCATTAAGTATTGCATGAAACCATATACTGCTAAAACATAAAAAACTATGTCATACGTTCTTAAAAGTAACGTAATCTGTGAATCTTAATTTAATGCGGTGATACTGTTATTGTGATTTGTAGTAATCGCTTAAATCTAATTTGTTAGTATCTTTTTAGGCGCATGAATGCGACTATGCCTTAACAGCGAACTTTTATCTGTGAAGGATTTTTCGCATTCTACGCATTTGTACGTTCTGCCAGTGTGTGTGACTAAATGTCTACTAAGTCCAGAGGCGTGGCAAAAAGCTTTTGGACAAAGTTGACAGTGATGTAACTGAATGTCATTTGGGTCCAATTTCTGATGTCTTCGCATGTGAACTTTCAACGCTTCGCGTTGGGTGAAACTCTTGTCACAATGCTGACATTGGAACGGTTTTTGCCCCGAATGAGTCATAAGATGACGAAGCAGAATTTCCTTTTGCGCAAAGGCACGATGACAAATGTTACAACCAAATGGTTTTTCACCTGTAAAAGTCATAATCATACATGTGAAAAAGTTCTCACTATTTAATTCTTTGAAATATGCATATTATAAATACCTGTATGAGTACGTTCGTGTCTCACTAAAGCAGATCTCGTAGGGAACCATTTTTCGCAAGCTTGACATGTAAAGCCTCTTTGTGTAGAATGAACAGACTGGTGACTCTTCAGCATTATTCTTCGTGTGAATGCTTTCGGACATTTGTCGCATTGAAATACCTTTAATTCTTGATTAGGTTCAACTGCAAAAGAAAATAGTTTATTTGTACATGTTACATACACCAATTTCATCTGTATAAAAATTCTGTGTGTTTACCTATGGTATTTGTTATTGGTTGCAATTTTAAGGACTCTCCTTGACCAGTATTGTTACTGGTCAGTTCCATCACATAAACATTTTTGTGATCAGCATTTGCAATTGCCCTTTGTACTTCATCTGCCTCATCTTCAGATTCTTGTTCTTGTTTAATACGCGTTGTACGGATTGTACAATGTGCTTTTGCAGCACGTTCCTCAGCAGGCACTAATGTAATATTTTCTGGATCCTCTGACATAGGTTCTTCCATTTCTAAGTTTTCAGAGTTCATTCCTATGGTCAAAATAATAAAACAGAATATATGAGAACCAAATGTTGTAGAAGTAATTATCTTGAAATTAAAATAGGAAGTTCTTGTGTACCTAAAATGTAACCACCAACAAGTTCTTCTTCTGTTACTTCAATTGGTTCTCCATCAGTCTGTCCACTATCACCTTTACTCGATACCAGATCAGCCAACAATTGTTTAACTTGTTTAGATTTTCCACTACTGGAAGAATCTGCCAGTTCATCCCTGTTATCTTGGTTCTCTCCATCTTCATTCTGACCAGTTAACTGTTGTATTAGCTTCATGTGTTTCCGAAGTTTAGCATCAGCAGCTTCACATTTCTTCTTGAACTGGTAGGATTTCTCCAACTGATACTTGCAGGGATGACAAATCATGTTTGGAAGACCATCTTCTTCATAAACCTAGTAAAAAGTATTATCAGTTTTTATGTATCAGATGTTGAAACCTGAAGCAATACAATATTACTCTATAACTTAATAGTTTTGAAAAATTGTATCTTTATTTAAATAAGTAAACAAATTTTTAAACTGTATGTTCTTTAAGTTATTTAATGGTAGTTTATTTTAAATTCCAGTTTCATATTATTTAAAATTCTGAAAATGATAAAAGGATAGGGTTTTGAATTTATTTCAATTGTAATAGGTATATGAAAGGTGGAAGAAGTAGGGCGCCAATATTAGTGCAAAAGGCTTAACATTGCAGATTTCTATAAATTCATAGGGTAAACGATCTGTAATGGAACGATACAGTTCGTCTAGATTCCTGTAATGAAAGAGAAGAAGGTGGCGTCAACGTATCGTGAATGCAAAGTCGATAACTCGGTAAAGCCGGTAGTTGCTTTGCGCAGTGTGTCGCGCGTTGCGAGGGAGCTAATGCGTTCTTTGATCGCATAGCAGTGTATGAGTGACGCTTAGGAGGCGTCCACAACAAACGAGCAAGAGCAGAAATCTGCAAAGAGCAAGAGCATTTGTTCGTGCTTGAAATACTTGATATGATGCACTGAAATATTTTTTTAAATCATGTCAAACTAAAACCGAAATACGATGAACTAAATTACGTTGAATGGAACGCGCCAATTAAATCGAGATGAGGTAAAACTTCCCAAACTGAATCGCATCGCATCGAAACGCGCCAAATTTGAAACTCGTCGAATTGAATCACTTTTGGAAAAACACCAAGAACATATATTCTTCTTAGAGCATTCGTTCGTGCTTGTCATCCGATAGAACAAACGCAAAGTATTCAGTCGCTGAGTGTGAGTGCTCCTTTACAAACAGGAACGAAAATCGAAGAGTGATTCACGAAAGAAAAAAAGATGGAGCAATCGCAAGATCGGGAGGGAAAGAGAGAGGGAGATACTTACACGTAGAAAGATAAACTAGATTCCTATTTTTCGATAAGCTTTCAAATAATATTTGCGTAATACAAATAATCGATGTCACTGTAACTCGCAATTTCCGTGTACCACTCTGACGAGACAGTCGAACTCACCTCCAGGTTAACGCAAGCCATAATTCGCAGGGATAAAGGAATAGTTTCGTCGTCGTAAATCGGCACCATCTCCTCCTCCTTTGCCAAGCACAGTCGGCACAGCTCGTTCACATGAATGATTACGTTGCTTGGGCTGTCGCCCTTTTTCCTACTGTATGTTTTCATTCCGACGTTTACCACGTTACTTGACAACTAATTCCAAAGATATTTCACTGTTGATTTCGGAGAGATACAAGTTTTCTTTGGAAAACTCTGGAGAACGAGACTCAGTCACACACAACGGAATCTATAATGGCGGCGGCTGCGGCGACGGTTGGCCAATGGCGGACTCACGGCGCTGTCGTGCAGTAAAGATGGAGGATGCAGTTCGTAGCCTTTCTAACGCGCGTGAAAGAGAAACGTAGTCAAGTCTGACAGAGAGGAGAAGTCGTTTCGAAGCCTTCGTCATCGTGGAGTCGGTAATGCCGGTAACTATTATTGATTTTCCATTCTTCCCAACGGCGGGAAACCATCTACTCTCCGCAGTCGTTGAAACATATTCGAATTTCTTCCTATATAACTTTGTCTTCTATTACTTCTTATTACGATGTTTTATATATAAACGATAATAATAGTTTCAGGTAATTACAGTATATATGAAAAGAGCGACGAGTGCAGCAGCTCGGAGGCTTTCACAGTAATAATTGATGAAATTATCGTTTAAGTAGGTTTTACCCCAACAAGTCTTCGTTGGATATCGACCGTTCAGACACGATACATTTCTTTCGTCGTTACTGCTGCGAATAGCGGAATGAAACGGCTTAGATGGTAAACAGTTGTTATAGTGAACTGTATTACAATTATAGGGCCATCTGTTTTTGACTATTATACAGAAGTCAAAATAAATTTATGTACATTGTGTTTAGCTCTCTTGGTAAGAAACACTCCTGTACCTCTTAATGTAATTGCAAATGTGTCGGTAGTATATGCTATTGCGTATTCGCTCTCTGTAAAATTTGTATGATAGAAAACTTGTATATAAAATTGAAATTTTATTCTGTTCAATAAATGAATAATTTAATGCATTGCATTATACAATCTTCTAAAAAAGACTTTTTTAAATTGAATGTAAATGCATACACTCACAGCTAAAAATTAAAAATTTTGCTAGTTTCACACTTTTAAGATATTGCAGAGGAGTCTATGACCTTGAGACGATCTTCACGCTGACATCTTAATTTCTACAGGTGTACTTGAAGGGACCAGGGTAGGAGACTTCTATCCCCTCTCCAAAGTGCGGACTGGACTTCCTCTATTTTCACGAGGAATATCTCCTATATCATATTAAAAATTTAAACAAGAAAAAACGCCATAAATTTAAAACTAACGAGCCAATATCAACAAACTGACGTTTAGATTTCTAAAAATAAATTCTCCTCTGCTTAAATTTCTATGAAATGATTTCTAGATCTCTGTAAACAAGAGATAAATCTAAAAAGCTTCAGATATACACATTTACATTTCATACTGTTAGAAGCAATAAAGATTGAATAAGTTTCAAACATTTTTTTGTGAGATTATTAAAAATGTCACTACTGTACAGGCAATGAACCATGTATCTTTTACTCGTCATAAAACAGACGTCTCGTTACAGTTATGTGAATCGCTCTGAATAGTTTGGTTTCATTGCTGCAGCCCTACCACCGCGAATTCTTACGAGCCGTCGGAGGGTGGTTGACTGTTTCGTTGAAGAGAATTTCAGGAAACGCGAAACAGATTCCCACGCTTGCTAGGTGAGAGCTGTCGGATGTTGAGATTGGCGGAGAACGGGGTTCGAAAATAACCAACAATAAGTCGGAGAAGGAAGGAAGAACGATTCGACGGCTCTTCCGATTGAGAGTGGGGGTGGTTCTTGCTGCTTCTCCCGGTGCTTTCGCTTTTCCGAGTCCAGTGTGTTTCGCCACCCGAGAAACCCGCGTGCGTTGCGTTCTTAACGCGAAGGTAGGTGCCCGTGATCGTGATCACCATGTTCTCCCGCATTTCCGCCCCCAGTGTCGCATGGAGAATGCTCTGCTTTTCAAGAAGCAGAATCGTGCGAAAGAAACGTTGGCAGTATTGTCTTCGGTTCTTGGTAAAATAGACGGCATAAAACGAAGATAAATTCCGCACGAACGCAATATTTTGCGATGGCACATTAGCGTCACTCGCTGGATGTTGAGTGTGAAACGGTGACGCTGGTCGTTTCAATTTCTTTATATTTTGCTTTACGACAATGATGAATCACTTCAACGTCTTCGTAATTCTCGCGATCGGGCAATCCTATCGGACATCAAAGGCTCAACGCCGCTTAACCGTGCAATTTTATACGGATAGCGTTTCACGACCTCCTCTTTAACCAGTTACACTCGCATTCAAGTATTTATACGGTTTTCATCGGTCCACACGCACATTTTCACGTCCATTACATAAAAGGTCAATCACCTATTTTTTTATGTACATAAATTATGCAGTAGATACTTTATGTTGATTAATTATATGATACAATGTAATACAATAAATTTATTGGTGTTACCTCATTCTCTAAGAGTTGATACACTATTCTTCTTTAACATTACCAACAAATACTATAGTTCACATTAGTTCATTAACATGTTCCTTTATTCTCAATTCTATAAAGAATTAATTGTCTAAGTAACAATAAGAAATAATAAAAATTAGTATATAAAATAACGAACACACTAGAGATCATTTAAAATTGTAGATTATCAATTACCTATTTTTACAATTTATTATACATCACTTATTTTGATATCAAAAAATATATTACAAAGTTACCATGCTTTTAATACACAACACTTCACATACAGACTGTTTGAAGTGCACACAGTTCAGTTTGTTCTTTGGATTTAATATTAGTATTTACCACCTCTTTCTGTGTTGTTAAATGAGCTTCTCAGGATGTATCTCATGTAACTGAAAAATTGCAGCACTGAATGGTAATGTATAACCTTATATTTTTTATATACACAGTATGTCCCAAAATTACCCTCATAAATTATGTAAAGAGGTTACCTTCATTTCTTTAACATTAATTTTTAATATCAACAAATTATAATATTAACAAACATCTGGATCTATAACTTTTCTTTTTTGTTCTCAAAAGATTTATGTAATATTTAAAAACATATAGTACACTTTTACTTCGTTCTGCAAAATTATGCGTTACTAATTATTCGGCCAGTTTCATCCGCTCGTATTTACATCCTTTCGATCTATTTTAGTCTCCTTCAAGCTTTCATACTGGTTCACATTCTACAATCAAGATAAACACGATGAACACAATTTTTTATGATAACAAATTAGTTCTTGCGTTAATCTCATTTGATACTATAAAAAAGATAAACAACTTTCGTAACCTCTTTTCGTTGAATAAAACAGCATGCTGTGTGATTTTTATTTCCGTTATCCGAGCGAATCGTTTGTTATTGCACGACATAATGAATCAATTCAAATATTTGCATTGCGCGCGAAAAGAGTGCTTTGTTTATTTTCTCAAACAATTCGAAGAAAATTCGTTTCGCCTCCGCCACTTTCGCGCGGTTTCTTGGCGAGTCTTCCGACGCAAAAAAACCGCGTCGGTAACGAGGCGTATTACGAAATCCCACGAACGTATCCGCGATTGCGAATTCGGCCGTGATACGAATCGACCCTGAAAGCGATTGTTGGTAACAGTCATTGCAAACGATTATCGACATCAACTGTTTAGAACTTGACAATTATTTTCAAATCTTCGCATCGACACGACACGAACGCGACACCTATTATAATTTCATGAAAACAGGATTCTCGAATTTTCAGTTGCATTCTTTCTACCATGCACGGAAGGTCGGTGTCAAATTTCAATGTTGTTTGACTATTTCGAGCACAACAGTGACGACAGTGCTCGATACCGCTCGATTACCAGAAAACGTTATTCGTAACATGTAAAGCGTGGCCAAAAGTTTTTATTGGCGCGCAAAACGATCGTATCGATAGCGAACTGTATCGACGATAAATTTTCAAACACAAACGCTAACGTACGCAAACATTTGGTTAGGAAATAACGAAGCGTAGTTTAATATGCATATTTGTACAGTGATTTTTTTGAATTGGCACTAGATTCGAATTTCCACGACGAACTTGCAACAGTTTAGAGCATCGTCCAAATACCTGCGAACGAAATCTTGGAATAGATATGAGTTATGTAAAGCGGCGTAGAAATTGTGTCTCGAAAAACACCGATCGGTTAAAGGATTAAAAATATTTTTGGCAATGTAATTTGAAGAAAAAACTTCGCTTATTTCTCGGTAAGGTTACTTATCTCTTTGGGACTGTCAGCTTGCCACGATGATTTATATAATTTATTAATTATAATATTTTCGTAGAAGTGTCAAACAGGTGTCGATAAGTACGTACTAGTGTCAAACGTGTATCGATACTTTTGTAGAATTTCCAATCATATCGAAAGTCGTACGATATCAACAGTACCGATGAAGTATCGATCAATAATGTTAAATGTTCGATCGATGTTCCAATCACGTTTTTCTTTCCTATCCGCGAATACCATGTAATCCAATACGACCCAGAAGTATATACCATCGCATGCCTCGGGTCATGAGGTGGAAGAGGGAGAGATGTAGAGATTTTGCGGACGATGTAGATATATTCGGAGGAATTTCGCAGCAAAAATAACTGCGGTAGACTACCGGTGGCTGTTCACCAGGGACGCGTCAGAGAGAATCCGAAACTTTCATAAGATAAACGCGCACTTTACCCTATCGTGCGTATGCGTGTGTGTATGTATACCTTTCGTTTTTCAGTTCTTCACCGTTTCGTCCGAGTTTCTTGCCATTATGATTCGCCCACGTAACCGAGTTCCACTCTAACGATTCAGCTAATGTAATACGCGATCTTTTTTCTGTTATACAATATTGTATAACCACAGTTTTTTTTGTCATTGATATTTTTACACTGCTCTTAACTTACAGCGAGAAGTTTACCCTCTACGCTAATGACTACGGTTATCCATAATGGCGGCTGCAGGTGCTGAAGGTTTAGGAAATAATTTTAAACCGTTTAAGGATCGGAGTTTTATTACCTATATTTTTTTATACTCAATATAGATTATTTATGAAACTATATTTAAATTGAATCTAATTAATATTTGATAGGGTAGATAAAACTACTATAAACAAAAATGGCGGGAAAAGTGAAACATCACAGATACATTGAATTTATTACAACTGTCATTAACAATTTGTATTGAGTAAAATAATCAATTACTTACTTTCATTTATTAACATTTTATATTTCTTCCAGAAAGATTATTAATTAGCATGGTACATGTACGTGACTCACTGTAAGTTTTAATTATCGCCTGTTTTGCTATTCATATACGATAAGTATACAAAAACGTCTTATCACGAATGAATATAGATAAGTAACGTATTTAAAAATCACCTTGGCAATCGTAAAAGAATTTTAAATCGAAGGAAAATGACGCAAAACATGTTTCACCTATTTTTTTAGATTTTCATTTCGAAGCTCGTGCCTAACATGACAACGTTCCTCTCGCAAGTGGTTGTGTACACGGTAAACAAGACGCTTCTATTTCTAAAGCTCGTATACAGGGTGAGTCACTATAAATGTGCGCCTTAAATAACTGCTTCACTATTGACATTAGGAAAATGTGTCTCAGGGGAAGTATGTTCTTCAATACATCTTCAGGTGTATTGAGTAAATACACCAGGTAATTTTTTCTTATGATTAATATATTTCTTTGACAAATTACTTTTCCAAAAATCTGTTTGCACAGGTGAGATGATGTCAGTTGTTACAAACCATATGTCTACAATACAGCTGGCGCTCGTTATATCGCCACGGATGAAATTTGAAAATTCGGGATTTGAAGATTAGGGGATTAGAAATTGTAAACTTGGGAATTTACTTGTAATCTCCTAATGCATTGCAATACTAGAGTGCTTCTGGTATTTATGAAAGTCTGCAGTCAACATAGCAAAAGTCCACAGTAAAAAAAAATTAATAATCATACCTAGATTCTGTAAAATGGAATACTTCTCCAAGCACTCAACACCCTTAATACAAATGCCTAAGCAAGTTATTTAAGGTGCAAAGTTGTAATGATTCAGCGAGTGTATGTCAGTGAACTCCAAGTATGTCTGACAGGTCTGATACGGAGCCAGCAATAACGTTGCAAGTTAAAAGCTCACTTCCCTCGATCTCACAGTTTTGACAGTTTCGTTTCTCGATAGCCATCTCCCGCATCTTGGCACGTATTCCTTGTTCAAGGAGCCGTTTCCGTTCAAACGATCGTCTCCTCTTTGAATATCGAATATCCAAACACTCGCGAAACATAGGGGCGATAATTTCGTGACCCACTTGCACGTTGCAAGATTGTTCACGCTTTTCATGCTTGTGAAAACACACGAATCCATCGGATGAAAATTCGAGCTAACGATGAATCATCGTTGTTGGCTTTACAGTCGATTTCAGTTAGGAGATTGCTCGCTGTTCGATCTCGTTACCACCAACGTGTTCGCGTGCCAATCTGTCTCTAACTCGTAATTAATCTTTGGCAAAGTCTCGAAAACAACAGAACTCGAACACAAGGTAGATTTGTTGAATTTTGTAAGTTGTTAGTCGTGGACATTTAATTAATGTTCGATTAGCCGAATAATTTAAAGGACGTTCACTAGGGTCTCTTTGCCAAACAGTAATTATACTAAATCCTTATTTGTTTTAATTAATTTGACCCAATTTCTTGAAGGATACATTTTTTAGGAGAGGAAGATATATTGAATTGGATTCAAATTAAGCGGAAAGACAGAAAGTATATTTTAGCATCTAAGCACAAAATTACTATTATCATTAATTATTAAATTACTAGCATCTTCATACATGTACTACAAAAGATAGAAAAGTATCAAGTTTATAAGTAATCAACATACACAAATATGTCCTAGTTAATAGTCCTTACAGGAACTTATAACACAAACTGCTAAATCAGTATATTTTAAGTGCATAAAAGATAAATACAGTTTTATGTAGAATGTATTTGTTATTCTTTATTGTTACAGTGACTGAAAATTATTCATAGCGAAACGCGAGTATGTCCACTCAGAGGGCAATGTTTGTTAACAAACAATTCAACTCTCCGATCAACTTGTATTCACCACAAGCGATACAGGAAACGCTGGATAGGCAAACTCAAGTATTAGCCAATGGCGCAGTTGGGTAAGTGAATGTTCAATAAGTACTAACATCATTAATAAACTGTATGGACACTACAAATTTTGTATAATTCACTAATGAATGAAAGGGAAGCGTAGACAAACCACAGCATTAATATTATGTCATTATTTTAGTAATGTAGAGTATCAACCCTGACAATCAACCAGAAGAAATAATAGTGTGATAAGGAATCTGATGAGAATTTGATACAGTGGCTCATTGTTTACTCAAATGTAATTTCACTAAATCTGATAACAAGATTTATAATTAAAGAAACAGTGTGTACCAAAGAGGTAGTCTGAATGTTGAACAGTAACCACGAGGAATAGATATAAATTTGGTCTCAACGAGAGGACAGACATAAACCACCTTGCGTCAATTAAAGCAGACGCTACACCTGTCGCTCCACGTGTCGTTACGGATCTGTATTCCATTGTTTTGTCCGGTTGCGGGTCGATGAATCAGCCATCCCGTCGTCATTGGCGAGTCGACCGTTATTTTCAGAGGACCGAATCACACGGGTTAGAAATAAACTTTGGTCGCAGGCAAACCGTTGCGCAAAGCCGCGAACACTGTCGTACTTGACTTAGTTTCGTGCATGGTGGCCTCGGGGTGCATGGTCCGCCACCGATTTTCTCCCGTGTCGTGTTCTATCTCCTGTCCGTCAACATGCTCGCTCAAAGAAGGTGATACGCTCCCTAATATTCTGTTTCATATCATTCCATCTTTTTAAAGTGACCTGTCATGGTGTTCACAAATATTTCTTCTAATATATTGATTGTCATAGGGGTTAACGGTGATTGAATGTGTTGCATAAGTTCTATCTGATCGTTCTAGGTCTTGCATGGGCACTAAGTGCCCGTTTAAGTTTAAAAGTCTTCAGAAATTGTATATTCCTTTTTGGTGATTTTTGCAGGATCGATTTCAATCAGCTGGCCAAGCCGTCGAATTTACAAAACAGTGCGGTTCTGCGAATGCTTGAAGAAGAAGAAGCGAGGCAACGAGCTGGTCAACCCAGTAAGTACATCAGAATTATCTGATTATCTTTAAAAGTGATATTTCTTGCTGCTATTTGGACTTTGGCTTCAATGATGTTTTTTTAAGAAGTTTTATTTTTACACTGATGGTTTATTGAAGCACATTTCTAACCCTTTATTTTATGATTTTTATAGCTATGAGGTACACTAGAATTATGAGAATACATGCATATTTTTAGACTAAAATGCTTGTACGATTCATGCTTTATTAACAATCATGACGTTAGGTGTGAATACGCCTACTGAACTACAATCTGCTTATAGTGTTATATTTAGAAATGTTGAAAGTGATAAATAATAATTCACTGTGAAATCTGGGAGGAGTATGAGTAATTTGAGTGCAATGTAGACTTCTGTTAGTTGAGGGGAAAGTAAGAAGGTGCAACTTTTTATAGATCCTACACTTCTAGTTTCACTATCTAAGCCTAAATTGCACTCAATGCTACATATTTCATATGCATAAATATCCACCATCTAATTATCACTAACTAAAGTAAATCAAGTGAGAAATAAAGTATAAAAATTTGATCAAAAGATTTCAGCCATGGATGCACAAAGTCATGTATTAACCTAACGGAGAGATCTAACAAGAAGCAAATCACTGCAAGCGGCTAATTACAAGCAAAGGAGATTAACATCGCTTTCAGACAAGTCAACAGAGGTGAACACTAACAACATTACTTGTGCATGGAGCTATAAGCATCATCCATTTTGCTTTGTACCCTGCAACCTATTTGTGATGATAACCATCTTTGTCCTCATGATGACCACACCTGTTGCTCACTTCAACCCCAGGTAACAGACCTCTTACCAGAAGAGTCCTGATTAATTCAAATCATCATAAAAGCCTCAAACATAATACTTGGTTTGTTGTAAGCTTTCAGCATATCTGTTGCCCAGGTCATTAGAACTGCTTATAACTTGTACAGAATTGTTAGTAAGGGAACCAGGTGGCAAATTGTTACTAGAAAACATGACGTGAACAAAATTAATAGAAAATGCTGTGTCATTCTTTTGCACGATGATCCTCCGCACATTGGCCGGTTACCAGAAAAGCTCTAAAATCGGTGGCCAGGTCGATTCTGCGATAATGAAAGGTACAGGTGACTTCGAGGTAGCATCAGTTGTTGGCCAGTGTCCGTTTTGGCAAAGTCGTGTTCTTCTTCGTCGTGACTGAGTGACTTATTTCATAAATCGGCGAATACAATTTTACGGAGAATAAGGCACCTATTTGTCGCTTGGCAAACGGGAATCTACGTATATTGAAACCAGTGTATGTATAAGTAATCAGAGGGACCATATTTCATACAAATGGTGCAATTTTCACTGGTGCATTTCTCTCAACGTATCATTTATTTAATGTGCTGTTGTGTCACTAATTTTATATTTGAATTCTGTGGAATTGAAACGGCCTGAAGCCCTGTTTCTTTGAATAACATAATCATGAAAGTATGATTTATGTCTGCTTGTGTTTTGATCAATTTGAACATTGTACAGTGTTCTTTATCATAGCAAATTATTGAGGCTGGTTAGAATGCTTCAAGTTGAGTATTAAATTACCCAATTTTAAATGTAACAATATTTAAAGATTTATCAGACATTAAAAATCTGATGTCAAGAAATTTTTAAACATTGATGATAAGATTTTTTGTAATAAAGTGCAGTGGCAATAGAAGTATCTTTTTTAGTACAAATAATTTAAAAATGTAAAATAAAATATTTGTGAGAATATATGTGAGAGTGATGTGTAAATTAAAAGATGAATTTCAATGCATTATATTTTGCATTAAAGACAAAGATAAATTATACAGTCAATTATTGTAGTCAAAACGATTTGCTTTCTGAAAGTTGTACATTTGCTAGCATCAAGCTTGATAACTATATCATTGTATCTGAATTGTATGTATCAATTATTCTGCGACAAAGTTGTATACTTCAAGGTTAATCAATTTCACGGTTTTCATTACGTCTCGTATACGTATTAACGAGCGCAGTTGGCTAGAATCGTTGGATCAAGTTTCGTTTCTCGTGTCTGATGAAAAGAAACGTGGAAAAGTGCAGTTATTGCGTCAATAAAACGATTATTATTCACACGGCTGTACAACATGATACCGTCGGCCAAGTTTATATTTACGCGATTATTGCTGAAGAATTCTCACGATTTCGGCACGACCTTGTTGTATATTCTTAGATTCTTTCGTTTTGGAACCTCGGATATTGGATATCAACGCAAGACCGTGAAGAAACAGAAATAGAAAACGATTTGTTGTTGATTCAATCATATACTTTATAACCCTTGTCCATCAAATTGGAATCATTTGCAATATTCTGTACATTCTTAGTCAAATTCGATGACTCGAATAATCTTGAGGAACACAGTTCGTTAAATGTTAAGGTGACTGGAGGTTGTGTAGGTTAGACTTTGCTTCGGTTTAGACTTGGTTGTCATTGTCTAGGTCGCCGCCATTTATATTGCCGGTTAACCTTATTTGTATACTACGAGGATTTGTAAATTTAGAAATTTAGATCTTGTGACTAATATCACACATCCCGTGCTATCTATCAAAATTTTTTATTGTATCATAAGAGACTGTATATCTAACTAGACTAATTAATTGCAGGTCTTAAACGCGTAGCTTGGCCACCACCCCCAGAAGATCAGGACCTTGATTTTGTGGAGCAAGGACCTGTGCAAGCGAAGGTAAATTTCCACCGATTGTTTCAATCTTGTACAGTCATACACTAGTGTTACTAGTTACATATGTGAGTATCATAGATACAGTTAGGAAGTAAATTTCAGTATACTTTGAAACGACAGCTCTTACATAGTTTCCTGCATTTTTGAATTACCTGTGATTTTTGTATTATTTTGTACCTGCCTCGTCGTTGTCTGCTCGTGCATCTGCATCAACCACCTCTTTCAAGTTTTTTGGTCCTTTTTTTTTAACAAACCGTCGTGACGTGCCTGCTGTCAGTAAGGTCCAATAGCTTTACACATAAATTATTTACTAGCTATATTTAATAAAATTATCTCACAAATGAGAAGTAAATTGTAAGCCATACTGATTAGTGTTATGGTCATCTTCAAATGACAATTGTAAGGGTAAGCTTGTGAAGCGCCCTCATGCGGTAGCGTCTTGAACTAACGTGGTTTTATTACCACAAATCTCAATTCTCATTAGCATACTTTTGGACCTTACTTATGTTATATAGTTCGTTGCAAGTAGCTGTAGCACGCTGTCGACGTATAGTATCACTAGTACAGGTCACTAGCATGATATAGCGAGGTCGTAAATCTTTCAGCAATATTAAAAATCTTAATCTGTAAATCTCATCGACATTGAGATCCCAAGTGACATTACCACCATTTTACGACCTCCTTACATTATGTCTGCGACCGCACCTAAACCGTGTTATACCCACACATCCCATCGCGGTTGACTACACCACTGTGGCTGTCGAGGCGGATGTACCGAGACAATTCTCCAAAGAAGCCGGCCAAACAGAACTCACCAGATGCGGCGACAATGCCTTCAAAATGCCTCTGTTTTCCGTTCGAAAGACCCGTGGAATCGGTGAACGCGCCTCGTACCAGAGCAGTCCCTCATCAGGTTCGTCGCCTCAGCCATCGCTCGCTCGTTCGTCGACTCAGAGCGGTGTCCCATCCTCGCCGTCGCCGGTTAGCCCTGGTGGAACTCTACGGCAACCTTCGCACTTTCAACATCAACCTGTGCCAAAAGGCTGGGCACCGGTCACGCCACCGGCAACCTCCCCAGTTTCCCAGCCTGTAAATTGGCCCAACCAGCCGCAGCTACAGCAACAGAATCAACGTCCTCAGGTAAGTGGTGCAGGCATACGTGTCGACTTTGATACCCTGATGGGTGACGTGTACTACTGTGCACCTTTGGCTGATGTGTACTACTTGGATATAGCAAAGTCGTAAATTTGAAAATTTTGGGAAAAGTCGACGCCTATGCATAATGTAAAACCTCGACAGCTGGATCACTTCACAGGAAAGGTGTACTCGAGTGTTCTGTGTGTAAATTCCTCCTCTGAGAAGCGTGTAGTCAACAGCTGTACATACTCAAGATCCCCTCTGGAATGCGATTATTGAAGGATCTGTTCTATTAGGTTTACAAGATTCGTTAAGTTGAATAATATACCGTTACTGATTACAGCAACAACCTCAGAATCAATATTCGCCACGACAAACACCGATTCAAGCCCCTACTGCGTTCGAAGCACCACCCTCCACCATCACACTTCGCCCGGAGCCTCCAATTTCACAGGTTAACTCTAACCTCTCTTTCTAATCTCCCTAAAGTAATTCAATATTAATAATTAAATATTATTTCAGGCGCCAGCACCAGTTTACCAAGCACAACCCGCCGCGACAAAGGCTCCAGTGAGCGGCAACATGAGGGGAGACCTCAAATGGCCACCGCCATCGGTGAAAGCTCAAACAGAGGCCGAAAACAGAGCCAGGATGGAGTTGGCGAAAGGTCCTGCTTTCAGGCCCCGCCGAGTGCACAAGGACTACAGCGGATTCTTCGCTCAACACGCCTTAACCAATACATATCCGGGCTACCGAGCTCCACCAGGAACTCAATACTTCACCCCTGCCTATCAACATTAGCGAATTTTATTTGACAATGATTTATTTTGCTCTTAACGTCGTCCTGAGCTCGATGTTTTATATTATTGCATAACGCGCGAAATTGAATGCTAATCAAATTAACCTAAAGAGCTGCGTTGAAAACCGATGAAATTGCTCAGGCCCGCTGTCGTTGGAATTCAAAATTTAAACGGTAATGTCTTGGTAGTAGACACATGGCCGCGTAGGGTGGGAATTGCTGGCATTTCTCGTCTTCGATTTGCTCCATAGCTGGAGAAAGTACCGTGAAAGTCGTTATTTTATGTCATCGAGGTGTAAGATATATATAATTATTTAACCAAAGCAGGAAATGCTGGAATTGAGTTTACTATCGAGGCAGTACTACTCGTTCGACAGGTCATGCTTGTGAAGTGATGAATTTTTGTTCATTCTGCACATGTTGGTTTTCGTTAGCCGAGAAAGTAACACCTTTCCGACTTTCCTCACGCTTATATACCCAGTGGTCTTTTATTTTGTATACTTCCTTCATAGTTGCCTTTCTCCTCTGTATGTATATTTTGACCACCATGTATATGGCTGAAGGAGTAAGCATGTGGTAATTGGATGAAGTGGTAGGCTAAAGATAACCGAGATGTGCATTACCGAGGAATTAAAATGTTGAAAAATTTTGTATTCAAAATTTATTTGAAGGGGACTTAGAACTGTACACGCACTACGTGTTTTGCTTTTCCAGTTCTTTGTCCAAAATTGGCATAATTTCATGAGAACAAGTAGCCTTCCTTAGGAAAATAAGGGTAAGAGGAGTTTCCCGCCATTTGTATTCGATTCTGGGAGATCGAATTGAAAAATATGTGAGTTACAAATTTGTAAATTTGAAATTTCTAAATTTACCCTTCGCCATTTTCTTTGGGAAGTCTACTGTCCGCGCTGCTATATATTCCGAGATTGATCAATTAATATACCTTTCAGTGCCATTATCCGCCCTTAGAATTATCTTAACGTGTTGATCAATCAAATCTTGTGTTCTCTATAATATTAAATATTGGCGAGTAAATAAAAATCAATGAAAGTATGGGTTCTGGTGAAATGTTACAATGAAGTGATAAATATCGGGTTAACATAAAAGAAAAACCCAACGAATAACGAAAATCGATGATCGAATAATCGAATAAAATGCGAATTGTTAATATCGAGAAAGATTTTATAAAATATTTTAATGACCATGCGTCTATTAAACGACTAACGGAAACTTTTTAATAATGTAATATATTGATGTGTATAAATAAAATATATTTATAAATTCAATAGTTCAGCGTGAATTTTGTTTGTTAAAATAAAATTTATTTTGGTATAAAATTGGAATTATAATGTCATGATTAACTTTATGAATGATCGTACAAAATATGTGTTTATTTATGAATAATGTATCGATTATTTTGTACGACTGCTAGAATAAATTATATTTTTCATAAATTATACGTCCAATGCTACAATAAATTATATTTTTATTTATTCATAATCTTGCTCTTGGAAACAAAAACATAAATTATTTAAATAAATGCAACCTATAAAACCATGATCGATTTTTTTCTGTTCAAAAATCATTTTTCATTAAACAATATGTAAAAACAAATTCATTCGCTTTAGTTTTAACCTATCGTGGAATATTACATTTGTTTATAATTTATTCACTAAAGATATTCCCTGAGTTTGTCTTGTTTCCAGAATTCAAGTGTACTGTAATAATTGCAAACACTATTTTTATTTAAAATAAATCATTAATAGATCTATAAAGTTGAAATTTAGAAATTTGTGACATTAGAAATGCGTGCATAATACGATCCACTTTTTTATCGACGCACATTATAGCAGTGGTATAAATTTCATATGTACACTCTTGATAACGCTCTATTGGATAATATCAATCAAATACACCATTAGAAAAATACGATTATGATAATAAAAATCTGTGTAACAACGGATGTAAAGCTTTCATAAAATGCCCTGATTGCGACCATGCTAAATTTCGAATCAATAAAGAATATTATGCACGTATTAAAAGAATAAAATGATAACATTATACTAATGAAAATCCTTGTGTTTGTTGAATAGCCTGTAATAACTTATAACGTAATCTTTCTCTAGTTTGATAGCGTGGGAGATCAAGTAAATTAAAACACGTGTGAGCAACGGGTAATAAACGCTCGTCATGCATTGGTTGTATCGTAATCTGAAATATAAAAGTATAAAATTGCAACGAATGATAGTAGATAAAATGTATGCAACTTGCCTTGATTGCTTGCATTCCCTGTATAGGTATTCGATCACTTCCGGTCAAAAATAGCAAAAATTTTTTCTTCTCCTCCAACGTGAGTTCACGAAACACTTGCCAGAATAATATGATAGTGGGGTCATTTTTTGTGTATCCTTCTTTGTACGTGGCGTTCTTTTCTAATTCTTCCCAATCGTAATCTTCATTCCCTACCACCACAGCCATAAGTTCGTGACTATGAAACAACTCTAACACTCTTCCGCCACAAACTTTATGAAAACCTTCATGAAATTTGTCAAAATGAGGTGCCACGGATTTATTTAATATATAATCTACGTATAAATCAACAAACTGTTTTCTAAAAAACGTAAACAGTTAGAGGTTAGAATCCCAGTTCGAAGAAAACATAAATAAATTTTCAGTAATGTGCACGTACTTATTATTTAATGTAACAGGAACTTTGCTACCACCTGGTATAAGTTCAAAAATTCTCTTCTCACCGAATACCTCCCTGACTACTTCGAAATGTAAACAAAAAATTTCTTCAAAGTCCTCTTCTTCGTAGTCAAGTATATTTTGCATACTCCTAAAACGATATTAATATAAATATATCATCAAAGCTGTATTTTTGTATCGTTATTTATATGCATTTACTTAAATAAATTTCTGCCATGAAGCAATAAATGAAAACATTATAATACAAATTACTTAGCGAGCAACGGTGACATTTCTTTGATATCGTTCAATCCAACTGGTTCGTGTAACAACTTTTTGTACAGAGCTAATGGAAATGGCAAATCAATGATAATAAAATTGTAAATGACAAGTCCACAAAGAATCCCAATTAAAAAGTACATGTTTTCATCTTCAAGCGAGTCTTCACTGAACCAAATAATTCTGGACTCTTCATATTGTTTAAACATGCCATATTTTGGATCAAGAATCTCTTTCAATAGAAGCATGAAAAATTCTTTTTTAACTCCACCAGCATCTTCTGCCTCTTCACCATGAAATTTCACCTTTAAATAATTGTTGGTTATATTTCTTAGAGAGAATGGTTAAAGTATGAAGAATAATGCTTACTCGGAGAGGTTTCTTTAAGTCGCTAGAATCGTAATGAGACAGTTCCATCAATGTATCTGCAACTATATTTTCTCTTGATACATTTAAGATCAAAAACTGATTATGATGTCGTAAGTCTGTAGAAAATGGATCTAAGAACATTTGATTCATTACAGCCCGAGTTGCGGCCTCATTCATCGCTGATTGCATCTAATACAAATGTATATATAGATATACAAAATTATAACAATGTAAAACATATTCTATTTTTAAGTCTAAGTTCATAGAAGTTTTTAAGGCACTAGGATAATTTATTTCTTACCTGTATAGCTTGATCCGTTTCAAGTAATATGGTTTTAGCTTGTGCATCAAGGAGAAACGAATAATCGCAGAACACTTTCCGGGACTGGAAAAAATTTTGTTAAAAATAATATGAATATGGATTGGTAATATATTGTATATGTGCATATAGATCATAACATACAGAGGGAGGTTCTGAAATCCATCTTATATAATTGCCTCTAATGTCTATATATTCTATTAATTCTGGTAAATGAAATGTAGAATAAGGTACTTTGTTCCCTTCAACGCCTTCATTGTTTAATTTATTTAATAAGTGTAATAAGTCTAAGACGACTTGTAGAGTATCATCCCATATTACTTCCTACAAAAATTATGACATATTTGTACCATCATCAAAATAGGGTGTTTATTTTCCTGTTATCAATAAAAGAGATGCTTCGTGATTGTTACCTTGCTTGTTTTAGAACGTTTAGTTTTTACGTAATGTAAAACAATGGATTTATGAATTCTAACTAATCTTTCAAAATAATGTGCTGGAGATCCTACCCACCAACTTGTAACAATGTCACGAATCTCTGATTTTAATGATAAAATGGCTTTACAAAATGGCGAATGCAATACATCGCAATTGAGAGGATTTGCAAAACCATGATATAATGGTAATATTAAATATATTCTTAAAGATTCTGGACAAACTGTCTTGATTGTATTACAATTAGAGCTGGTGAAAGAAGGAATTAAGCTCTCTGTTATGCAGGTAAATATCTGAAAACGAATAATTAATTCGCTATAATCTCAAATTTAAGAACATTTGAAACTTGTGGCCTTTATATTTTTATATACCAATTTCTGAATCGTGTTATTATCCAATTCTTTAATAATTCCGAATAATCGACTTGCTCGATCAAGATCCACTCCATGATGCTTTATCGAACAACCATAATGAGCATCATTATTAAGTAAAAATGATCCAGTCACGCAAGAGTTACTTGTAAATACCGTCTCCAAATACCTATCAAAATATTAAATTACAAAATTTGATGAAGTTTATTGTTTACTGCGGAAAGAAGATAGGAAAAGACCATCGTTATGATGAAAAATACAAAATCCATTATATGACACATCTGGGAGGGGTATTGACTTAGGTACTAACTTTCTACTCACATCATAAGTTCATGATCAACAGATGAGTTTGACGGAACTCGTTGACATGCCATTAACTGCTCTTCAGTTATTTCAAGAATTTGGGAAGATGACTGTAATATTCTACAGTCATCTGGTTCTACATTAGTCTACAAATAATCAATTATATAAGCTTTATAATTAGAAATACAAATTAAAACATAGGTAAAAAATACCTACATCTCTAGGAATTACTGTGGCAAAACAGTGATCCCCACCAGTAAAAATGTGTTTAACAATGTAGTTAGTTTTACAAGAAGTAAACTCATTAAAGTCTATCACTGAAGAACCATTTGGTGCAACCCATGGACCATGTACCACTTGTGGAGTTGCTACACTTCGTGTGATATTATTACCTAATTGTCCTGCACCACCTAAACCCCACGCATAAACTCTGCCTCGCGATGGTACCAATCCCAAAGTGTGCCTTTTACCACATGAAATCTTAAAATAAGACATTTATTTAGCATTTACGATATATTTTTATTTTTGCGTAGCAATAATGCACCTGGGTAACTGTGCTGCCCATGAGCTCCATAACTTGACGCGGTAAAATTTCGTTGCTGGTATTTCCATGCCCTAACTGACCATACATTCCAGCACCACATGTGAATACTCCACCATCCTAATATAATTCTTGTGTAATGTTGTGAATAACTTTTTTTCTATTACAAATTTTAATACTTACCACTGTTAAAAATACAGAAAACTCTTCACCACAAGCAGCATAACACACTTTTGCATTTTGTAAAGTTTGTAATTGACGTGGTAAATTTCTATTTCGTGTATCATTTAATCCTAATTGACCAAATGTATTTTTTCCCCACCCAAATACAGCCCCTATAGAAAAATTAATACGATGCAAATAATTTCCATTTCTTAGTTATTATGTTATTAGTAACTATTTATACTATTTGTAAAATTACCTGATTTTGATATAGCCATACTGTGATATCCACCACAGGTAATAAAAGCAATGGGAACACCAGCTAAACTGCTGATAAGTTTAGGCTTTATTTCATTTTTAACATCTGTACCTAGTCCAAGCTGTCCATCACTATTAGAACCCCAACTATATAATTTTCCATTATTTGTTAATGCAAGTACATGGTTAATGCCACAGGCTACTTGTACAACTACACTTGTACCTAATGCTCTTACCATATGCGGAACACATTCAATTAAATTTTTAGAATTCAGACCTACAATTGAGTTAAAATACGAATTAATAAATAATAATTAAAAATATCGAAAAACATTAATAATAATAATGATAATAATACCAAGTTGGCCTTCTGCATTAGATCCCCAACTAAACAGTTGGCCCCATTCATTTACTGCTAATGTATGATGTGCTCCACAAGCTACTTTTTTAAATACAAACGCATCTAATCCAGGTATTAATTCTAAACATAAATTAATTCATCATAAATTAATTCTCCAATTAAATAAATCTAATGAAGTTATTACTTTATGAAGTGTACATACGTAATCTTTTCCTTCCTTTCTCATGACCAAGTTGCCCATAATCATTATTTCCACAAGAATATACTTGACCATCTCGAGTAATAAGCACAGTGTAATTTTCACCGCAAGCAACTGTATAAATATATTATATGATGCAAAGAATTTATAGATACCATTGCCAATATCTAATTTCATAATTCGAAACTTACTCTGTTCAATTTCTGTAGCCTTCTGAAAATCAAGTTCACGGGGAACTAAAATGTTTTCATCTTCTATACCACCTAAACCTAGTTCCCCGTGTATAGTACTCCCCCAACAAAACATATTTTTGTCCGTGACTGTAGAATATTCCACTGCTATAATAGGCTCACAGGCCAAACGTCGTTTTTTATTCCTGTTTGCCTGTATACATAATATTACATAAACAACATGCAATGACCGTTATATTTATTTTTGTTTTTCTAATACAATGGGTACATTATGCATAAGGATAGTAACTTGCTGCAGCAAGCTCAGAAGATTGCCTCTGAGAGATATATAGATATTTCATCGAATCCAAGTGACAAATAGTCTGTAACAATAACTAAATACACATGTATTATTACTTGTGCTATGATAGCTCTGGAATGCAATCTTCTGAACTCTTTATAATATTAGACTCATTCAATTATATGTATAATTCCCATTATTATTATTTTGGAATTTATTTAAAAAGTATGTAAAAGGAATGTAACAAAAATGAACATTATGATTTAGTAAATCTACATTCTCATTTAAGATTTAATTAACACGTTCGCTACTAGGCATTTAAATAAAGCAATCCATGAGTTACATGATTTTATGTAATATATTTTTAGATACATGCTACCAAAATATGTGTCATACATGTTAAATGTTAGCGAACATGTTAAGAAATTATTTGCATCGCATGCTGTAGGATTTATTATATTTAGTTATATTTTAAAAGTATGATAAGTGACGATTAAAGTCTAATTCAGTGATGCACATGCTAAATAATACATACTTTTACGGTATTACAGAATGAAGTAACAAATAATTATGGTAATTCTTAGATGAAAACAGGTATCAATAACTAACCATATTTTTCTGTTTCTCTCAAACTGAAAGCATCAGAGATGTGGATGGGACATGATATTTATGAAAGACATGTGGTATGTCCTAGAAATAACGTTTTTCATAATTTTCCTATAATTAAATTTGTTTAATATAACATTAATAGTAAAAGAAACACACTTTAATACGTCACAGTATTTTTCTAAAAAAGTTACATATTATTATTGTTACTAAAAATTACTTTGAAATTCCATTATCTGATACAATGCATACAAACAGAAATACAAAATTTTAATAGATTAATTTAATCGTATTAATATTTCTTCTCATTATTATTAATCAAATTTAACAATATTAATTTACATGAATGACACTGCGTAAAAATTCTTATCACGTTAAATACAATACACGTGAAGAAATTTGTTTTTCATTGTACCTGCTTTTTTTAAACGAATTAATTTTATAAATAGAGTTTTGATCAATTAGGTTAAGAGAAACACAAGAAATTTGAATAGTTTAGGATATGATAGTATTTCATGAATCAAAGAGTAACAAATTAATAATGAAAAACTAATACGGGAAAATGAAACGCAGCAAATTTCACTTATAAGTCAATAGCAGTTTATCCTTGTAGTAAAATTCACACTATTCCCGTATCATTCCTTGTTACTTACATTTTTTATGGGAATAATATTCGAGCATTTAAATGGAAGTGTTAACAAGAACACAAATTTTTCAACGTAGCTTAGTTTACTTTGAGTCACGACGGGAGATATACATGTATAGATAGTGCGGGGGTCATCTCCTCCTACTTCAATTTATGTGACAATCTTAACCTGATATTTGGACCATCCGACAGAGGGATTGTAGTCGAATAAATACAATGGCAACGTCACTGCACGTCACCTAAGCTATTTTCTACCATGATCTGTGTTCCCTATAGTCATAGATGCACATGTCTATGCTTGAAGTTTATACACACATGTCTTTAATACGGTGAACATTCAATACCTAAGACTGTAATCTTAACAGTGATAAAACGCAGGATATAATACCACAATAAAACCACAATTTATTTGAAATGATATCTACAGTACTCAGAAAAGATACTAAAAGATTTTATTAATAGTTAAAAATTCTTGATTAAAGTAGCAGCTTATTCGTTATTAATCTATACGTCTTTTACATAGGATGTATTGTGAACACTCATTCCCTCAACAGTTCAATTGCAGATTGTACTCATCGTACAATGAGGTTTTATATATCCTGCGCATGTTGATTCTGATTGGTTTGAAAATGTTTGGTAACCAAGGGTAACGCGCATGCGCATTTGTGGCGTTCCTAACGCCAAGCATGTATACTCGGTAGTCTTTCTTTTTTAAAAATACAGTTGACCCTCAAATAAGTAAGGGAGTGGGTCTACAGGCACTTCAACCGTACGAGAGGTTGAAAATTTTCAGAATTCTCGATACATAAAGAAAATAGAGATAGAGCAGAATATGGATTATAGGACACCATCGATAGCAGTTACCATGCATGTGCTTCTACACCGTGTACTTCTCTTTATTCGTATATTTTGTTTACCTGATATATAGCCGATCGAGCAGAAAGTATGTGGTAGTGAGACTTCACTAATAGGAGGGGAAGGTACTGAAGTTTGCCGCGATGCGCAAATTGGTTATGATCTTCCATTGAACGAACAATAGGTTTAATAGTTATATTTCAAAATAAATTTATTGCATCAATCAATTTTAATTACCAAAATGTACAAGAAAAATTGGAAAAATTCGTCAAATTTAAGAAAAAAATGTTTAACCAATAATTTGTTTATATTTGCCATCTTTTTGTAATACCAAATTTGTAATGAATTGAAGAATATCTATAAAATCTTTCTTGACATTTTCAAAATTAAATTTCATGTATTTGAACGAAACATTTTAAATACAGTACAGACTATGCAATAATATTATGTTATAACCTATACACTAAGGATGAAAATTTATATATGAATGATGTGTAACAGTATAAAAAATTGGAAGAAAAATATTGAATTAGTCCGATGGAAAGATTTAGCGGTGATTTAATACTTATGTTGAGAATTGTTACATCTATACATACAAATATAGTTCATGATTAGTTCCCCCTCTCGAGGAGAACCGAGCAAGCGGGTGGGCAGGCGGCAGCCATATTATCAGTGAGGTGTCAGTATTGTCTGAACGTGACGGGATTTTTGGGTGTGGATCATACAATTTCCTGTCGTTTTCTGCCGCGGCCATAGTGCAAGTGCAGGTGCCACTGGCCTACCGTGAATGTGTGGCACATGCGTGTAGAATTCGTATCTTATAAACACAATAATGTAAGTTCAAGTCACTGAAATGTTTAATAATTAAAGACAATCTACAAGTGTTATAATTGTTCCAACAAATTGTTTTTCGTAACCGCTAATCGAAATACTGCTTGTTCCAATATTTCTCGTCTTTTTTTTCGTACGATACGTGTACATTCATTTCCTGCTTTTCATTCGGAAACTAACCTTTTGCTTACTAACCTACATAAAGATTATTTCTTTCAAGTTAGCGAATTATCGTGTTACATGCTTGTCTGATAATTTCATCTTCGTGAAGGTGACATCCTGTATTCGAGTCACTATTTTCTCTATGAGGGAACGAATAGCGGACGCACATCGGATTTTATAAATTTATAGGAATAGTTCATTGTTACGTACACCATAGTATCGAGACGGACTTACATTATTGGGATAATAAACGTGCGTACGCCGCTTTAATTGTAACGTAAAATACTCGGTGTCGATCGTTTAGTAGTTGTCTCGTTCTTTTAAGGTAAAATGAGACAAGACGAGTCGAGAGATAGAACACATGCTTACATTTCTGTTAATCCTACGCATTTCTAGCTAACCTCAGCAGACAGGTACATTGGTGTGCACTTATATTCCGATTATACCTAGTAACAAGCACTTATTTCTCAAATAACAATACTAATTATTTGTTTAATAATCAGTTTGTTAAAACGTGCAATTTAAAATAGTACGTATTTTGAATCAATGAGGAACCTTGAAGAATATTTCAAAACACCAGTCTTTTCGTGGTGACATTCTTCTCGTTCATTCCTTTCCTATGCGTGTAAATCTCACACGTATTTACATTTTTTTAAATTTCTTTCTCTTTCGTAATACAGTTGACCCTTGAACAACGCGGATTTTTTCCAACCAAAAGTTTTGGTCGGAAACTCTTTTGTAATTAGTCCATGTAATATATCGCGACTTTATAACAAACTAAATAATCTACTTAATAAATAAATGTATGTTTAAATAATAATTATTATAATGTATTATAATGTATAACAATATGTATGTGTGAATAATATATGTATATATTGATACATATGCGTGTACGTATTTTCTCTTCCTTATAAGTATCTTAATAACATTTCCTTACCTCTAACTTACAGTAAGAATAAAGTAACACAGATACATAGTATACAAAATGAAACTTCTAGTCAACAATCTACCTAAGTTTTAGAGAGTCAAAAATTACACACAGATTTACATGTGGTGTCTGTGCCTCCCGCGTTATTCGAGGGTCAACTGTATAAACATATTCAAAGTGTTCCATCGTATCAAAGTCGTTCATATCGTGTAAATATGAATTGAAATCGAAGCATTTACTTTACACAGTGATCGAAAGATGCGTTAGACATTCGCGTAAACAGTTGTGACGAGTATTTTGGACTTCGAACGCAGTAGTCGGAAACGGAGACTTTATTAATAGCTGCTTTCCATCTCCATACTTCGTGAAAACTCGGACGGATATGTCGCGCAGAAATTCGCGCTTTTCTTTTTTAAATGCAATTGTCACTGACAGAAGTCAAAAGATACCAACGGTTCAACGGACGCGGTGGTCCTAGATAAAAGGGGAATGCTAGACACACATACTCTGCAGGCACTCCTTACTGCCAGCGGATGTCGGTCACGCGAATTTACATTATAACCTGTCTCTTCTTCCAACATGGATGCAATTCCCAAATGTACGCCGTCTCATTTTTTATCTGCAATTTGTTATGAATTGCAATTCTCAATATTCATTGCAACATATACATAATTATTATAAATAATTTTTTAGTAGGTGGCTACATTCGATTTGTCTATAAATATTTTATTATATAAATAGTAGAATATAATACTGCTGATACTCACAGATTTTAATTACGTGTGTGTCTGTTATTCAACCGGATATTCTACTTTCGAATAGAATTATAAAATTTGTTATATTAACCGAAGTTAGGTTAACAATGGCGCCTGGTTCGATGAGAGAACACTTAGCGTAACTCATAGTATCCATAGCAACCAAGATTATATAATTACTCGTACCTCATTTTTATACATAATTACTTAAATTTATCAACTACGACTAGTATCGTGTATCTCTTATACTTTTGCTGCATTTTGCATCTTATCTAATTACACTTGAGAAACGTTGCAACCTGTTGCTAATCGTTACTTGAAATATGAATCATGCAGTGTATTAGCAGTAGTAGATCCAAGGAGGAGGAACAATTTCCCTTTCCTAAATTAACTTGTGCTGTAAAATAAAATTTTTATTTTATTTTTATTCATAAATTGACTATTTAATAATAACTCTAATTGTATAAATAAACTACAATTAATTGTGATTAATTTTTAATTGCAGATTGATATTTTTCGTTGTTTAACTCGGGAAAACAAAAGCCGCCACAATGCCGAAGACGGTAAGTACTATTTTCTCAATGATAATTCACAATTTGTGTAATTGTAAAGCTGCCCAATGTTCATTGAGAACTGCTTATTATTTTGAAGTAATAAATCGCGTTAAAGTTACCGTGCATTAATTTCTGTAACGGTTGGAAAATTCCCTTGAAAAACCGTCGGTTTCCAACGGAAGTCGCCAGCATTCTACCGTAGATACGGCGATAACGTCGAAAACTGCAATCAGCACTTTTCGAATCCATGAAAGATTTATAAAAGTGAATGCAGTTATTATGTCTCTGAAAAAAGATTACTTCACGTGAATGTTTAAATAATAATTAATGAAAAATTCACTACTTATCTTCGGTTCAATATAAAAGAATTCCTCTTAAGTAACCGGCATGACTCACGGTTTCCGCGAAATTCAAATTTATGTTAGAATACGTGTACGGAATTTGAATGTCATTTATCGTATGGAAAACTGAATTTCCTCCATATCACCAGTCAACGATCGGTTATCATTCAGGACCCAAGAACGTGCAGGGGTGGAGTCTGCACTTGAATTGTAAACGAAAAAAACGATGTCAACACGAGAGAGAGAGACCCTAATAGTCGGTACTCAAATTTGATTGGTCGCTTTCCGCGCATGCTCCGTGCTGCAAATTATGGGCGATTTAAAAACCTCCAATTAATACACATTTCTAAATTAATACCAGTGTTAATAATTTCAAATTTGTATGTTCTATGTAAAATTTAGAAGTTAAATATTTAAATATTTGAAATGTACGGATCTTTGAATTTATGAATTTGAAATTTGTACGGTATACATTAAGGAAGTCACATCGGTACACCCGGTATTTCGACTAAACGCTGATTGGTCATGGCTATACGCACCGGCTTCCTCACGTGACCGTTTCTGTTTCTCTCTCTTGCACTTAGGGACGCTACCTATGCGTTAGAAAGAGAGGGATAACAATGCACTGCTTATAATAGAGAAAAGTGGGGGGAAAGACGCTGCCGGTTGCACTTGCCCCTTAGAACCCATTGTCCGTTCTGAACCGGCAAACGCCAACAGTCGAATGGTTTGAACCTTGTGGTATTCTGTGTCGATTTGTTCTGAAACGGTACATCCACGGTGCATCTGAGATTATTCGTATCTGGACGCGTTATCGTTTATCAGTGTATTTAATTTTAACGGGTCACCGTTCCGTTTGAATTCGTGAGACAAATTCGCGTATCGCTGCAGCCATGGTCGCCGGGGCTAAAATGGTAAGCGTTCTTGCCCTGTAGCATCGTTACTTTTCACTAAATTCCTAAAAGACAATTATGCGTAACGTTCTCTCATCGGATTGCATCTATTCTGCCTCATAGTTTCTGATCTTTTGTTTTTTCTTTTTGTGTATGAAGATGAACGTCAGGGTAACGACAATGGACGCCGAGTTGGAGTTTGCGATTCAGCAGACGACCACCGGGAAGCAATTATTTGATCAAGTTGTAAAGACGATCGGACTACGTGAGGTGTGGTTTTTCGGACTTCAGTACACGGACAATAAAGGCGACTTGACGTGGATTAAACTTTATAAGAAGGTAAGATGATTTGTTATTTATTGCTTTATTGTTCCTCTGAATCGCTCATGATGGCCCTTTTTTGTGCGTTGGAAATTGGGCCGGAATATCTTAAGCTGCAATAGTCGCTTCAATGCAAACTCTGCTGTCTATTCACTCGCTAATGGTATTATATGGCAGAATTTCGCTATATGGCTCTGGATAGGATTTTAGAAGCGGGAAAATGATAGAAAGAGGTCATATAGTCGAAATATTTAAATCTCTCTGATGTGGTAATGGGGGGAGGACACTGCTAGTATGCATGACCGGCCGAACGGGGTCCCCCACATTTATCAATATAAATGAAAGCCAAATAGCGAGATTACACTGTAATTTGAATTTGAAAAAGTAATTGCTTCCACGATATAACTATTCATAAGACGTGAGGCAAAATAATTTACAATGTAATGTAAGATTCATATATAGTTATTAAAATGTTTTTGTACGTAGATGTTATAGGTTAAAAAATTTCTAGTACATACAAGTGTTCTTTAACTACACGTGTGTATATATTATTCGTTGAAACGAATACACTGAATTTAGACGTTTGCTGTGTCAATTGGATAAAAAATGACCTAGGGAGAGATCTTAACGGATGCTGATGTCATCGACTTTCGTGGGTTCGCATGTTGGGTTACGCGTTCAATTTTGCGCTCGATTATTTCACTGTTCAAATTTTTACATTCGATGCATAATTTTTTATAAATTTTTTCGTGAACATATTTTTTTTCAAGTGTAATAATTTTTGGAACTCGTAACTTAAAAGTTTTTAAGGTTAGGAATTTTTTGAAGATTGAAATGATTAATGTAAAAAAGTAATTTTAATTGGAAGTTTTTTTAAATTGTGTCCTTCAGTTTTCGATACGTGATTCAAGGTACAGTTGCGAGTTGATGTTCCATTTGCTTTCACCAAGCGGTTGATGACGCGCCTTCACCTTGACACAGTCGCGTTTGTATTTTTATTGTCTCCTTTCTGCCCCTCTTTCAACAGTTTCACGAATTGATTAAAAACGTGACCATCTATAGCATACATTGCAAGCACTCGTATTTTCCTCTTTTTCTCCTTTGTTTCCTGTCCTTATAGGGAAGTAGATGTGCCGCTATCGATAGTATCGAAATGTTATCGATAATTCGATATATCGCTAATATCAAATATGGAGGAAGCGAAACTGTCTTATCGATATTTATATCCAAATTATCGACAACTTAGTTTGAGAATAAGTAGATTAAATGATTTTCTACGAGGTTAGGTTAGGTTTTTTCGTTCAAATCTTAGGTTGGAATTCGATAGCCGCACATGTAACGTAAGTAAAGAGATAATCTTTGGAATAACCGTTTAAAGGAAATGAGGAATCGCATTTATAAATAGAATTTTTTTGCGTGCTTTTTCTTACATTCGATCGTATGACTGCGTGTTTCTTTTTTATTACCCATTCTTTCGAAGATGTTTTTATTTTTTCGTTATACAATTACACGAAGATAAGATGAATCTTAAAAATATTTACGAACAATTTTTGTCAGTTTTTTAATAACAAGTTGCAGTACCAACTTTTGTTACTTTAACAAGTTTGAAAATGAAGCTAGATTAGATAACGTAACTGCATTATTGGCAAGCGCAGATATCGCGTATTCGTAGTGTATTAACATAAAAAATAAATAGAATCACAGTAAAACTATATCGGCTTTCTAAGCGGTATTTGTAGTGAAACTTATCTAGTTAATGCTGCGTGTCATCTTATCGTAATCGTGTCGGAAAAAAAGAAAGAAGCGATACATTTATTTTTTTTTAGTGGCTGCTTAAAAACTCTTAAAAATATTATCACAATATTGCAAATAATTTGACGCTGATATTCAATCTTTTCTTTTAATTTAAAAAATTATTTTTATTAAAATAGATAAGGTGTTCTTTTAGTGTTCAAAGATGGCGGCAAATGCAGCATCACGTGTTGCACAGATTCAAGGTCACTTTTCGCGCGTAACATTTTTGATTGTTATAAAAAGCAGCGTTACCTAAAATCTCAACAATCTAAGATCTTTTCTTGCAATTAAAGTTGCATCTTTTTGTTACGTGTACGTTATGCGTTACGAAACATAGTAAGAAAATTAAGTGATACAGCATTTTCGACCACCTAGTTATGATGCATTATGATATGACAAAAAGTTGTATTTTAAATAAAAACATTCTTTAAGTGAATTATTGCAATTGTCATAAAATGAACAGTGGTCGAATCTAATACTAAAAATATTTCATTGGCAGTAAAGTTAATGCATAATGTATCTAAACTAAAACTGGGACAAATAGTTGTCTACCCGGTTAACAAATTAAAAACGAATGTGTCGCTGATTTCTTGAACCGCTAGATCCTAGTAGCAAGCTAGTGTCCGGTTGGGTCCAGGTCGTTAGCGTTTCACGGCGACTTTTTCTTTAATCATGAAACGATTGCACGCAGCCGGAAAACGCGATAACGAGGGTGGTGAAGAAAGAGGTGAAAAAGAAAGTTCGAAAGCTGAGAGGTTGCTCGGACTCGGACACGGATGACGACGAGTTTGAGGATGACCTGGTAAGCGGCGATCAGAAGAACGAGGAACTCGATTTTCTCGCGTGAGAATCGATACTCTCACAGTTCCCTGTCACTTACTCAACTCCCTAGATTCACTAGGTTATTTCCTCAAGCTTTTCCAAGAACCATAACTTTTCCTTAAACATTTCCTGAAGTTTGTTTCCTCCTTTTCTGAAAATTTTTCTAATCTTCTCTTGGAATTTTTCAAATCTCCCTAGGATAATCTTAGGTTTTTCCAGAATAACTCTAGGACTTCATTGATTCCTTAGTTGACTTCAGTGATTACCTGGGACCTTAGGTTTCTAGATTCTGATTTTTTAATAATCTCCCTAGAGCTCATCTGTGCGTCCAGTAAGTTTCTCTACTACTAAAACGAGAGCTCTCAATCGACTTGCGTTCTTACTGCTTCGTTGTTATCCCTCTCGGCTATGAATAGTCTCCGTAGTAATCACTCGTTGAACTAAATACTTTTTCGCGTCCGATACGTTTATCGATCCCATGACAAATCGTTTCAATGTTCTATCTGAGGCTAACGTTCTCCGACGTAATAGACTACTTTGCTGAATAGTGTGGGGAAATTTCTGCTTCCAAGACGCGTTAAGTGAAACTTGGAGACGTTTTCTCGACGCTGATTAACCTTTGGAGAGAGGTCGGAAGGCAGCATGATTCATAAGGCTCTTGTCACGCGCACTGTACTTGCCTCGATTGCTATGCACGCATTCGGTGCAGTGAACAATTATATTAACCCTTTAGCTTCCGACGCTTTCATGGCTTCCTGCCCGATTTTCCTGCGTCACCATTCAAACCACTAAAATATTAATTCTCAAAATATTATATAGTCTATAGCTTCAATATTCAATGATCATTTTTACAGAACGAACTTTCTACTTCACGATTAACTTAATCGCTCTAAGCCCATCTCAGTCTCGTAAATACAAATTCTGGTCACAGCTATAACGTGGCGTAACTTCTTTTTGATATCCAAGATAACTTATCTGGTCAACTGATTGATCCCTGAAATAAATTCGGAGCAGTGTAAAGTAAATTGTAGATTTGGGAGATGGATAATAACTTTTTTCTTTGAAGCGCTCAAGAATATTGCTATTACGTGTTAACGATTGTAGGATTAAATCAGTAACGTCATACCAAAACTGAGTCATTTTATATGTTCTTTATTTGACGAATTTTTTACTTGATTTATATCTTTTGTTTATTGTCTAAATTGTTTAAAAATATACTTGTTAAAAATGATCAAGATCATTTTGATTGACTCACTGACTTAATTAGTGCAATGACTTACCATGATTTAATTACTAGAAGTAAACTACTTTCCATGTCGCTGTCTAATAAGTTATCTAAAATTGACAGCATTTCAGTACGCGTCACTATCCATCAAATCTACGCACAGCGTGTCAAGAGACGCTGTGAGAAACGTTAAGCAACGATCGAGTATTTATCTAAAATTTATGATACGTATGGGTCTCGTTTGTAAACAGACGTTTTCTGGGTCATAACTCAACAACCTATTCTTTTGATAAATACAGCATGTTCTCCTACACACGTCAATTTATGCAAACAAATCGCATAATTTCGTTAAATAAATAATTCTCGTTCGTCTGGAATTTTTTAAGAAAATTAGATAAATACGACATTGCAATTTTATTAAATATTTTTTACAAAATATCATAAAAGATTTTACCTGTCTATTGTAAAATATTCATCCTTGTGAACCTGGCAGAATCTATCTCGTACACTCGTGTCCGCCATTTTTGCCTAAAAAGTTGAACACCATGAGAAAAAAAAATGGCGGCGCGCATGGAAAAATTCGAGCAAAAACAAAGATGTACCTGGGCCATGTTAGGAAGTGGGAATGGAGAAACGTAAATGTCCGTTAAACGTTAAAGATTTCTAGAAAATTGACCTCGTCGGAGAATAATGGCTCTTTGCAGAAGCATGTGAATCGAACACAGGCTGCACAGGTGCGTTCCTTTACCCGTGGATCGTGGCTGATTACGTAACACATTGCAGCCATCGGTAATTGGTACACGTTATTCCATGTACGATTCTGTAGCCTGTTTTTCGACGTCCGTGTGACGTTTTTTTTATTTCTACTTCTCTCTCTTTTTTTCCGCTCATTCTCGTCAGCAGAGACGAAGCTATTTATACTATCGGCACGATATTGCAAGGACGTTTCAGCGCCATACAGTTTTCACGGTATTCCTTCGAGATGCGCACGCAACGTGCGCGCATCTGCGGTTTAATTGTTATGCGTTGAGGAAAACATACCCTATTCTTCCCTATCTGAATTTTAAATCTTCCATGAATACGGTATTTTTTAATTCTAATATTCTTTCGGAAATTCAGTTTGTACGATCAATTTTCAAGACGTAAGATCATGTGACAGTTTATCGAATGATCTTTTATGCAAAACTTGCATATATTTTTTGCCATTTGTACAGACTGTAAAAAAGTTTGCATTTCCATAATCTGCTAAGTTAGACAAATTTCAGAAACTGATTAAGAATTAATGGTAATGAATTAAGTGCTTATAACGAATACGGGACGAATGATAATTCACTAGTAATTAATGTTATCATGTTATCAGTTATTGACAGTAATTGAAAACGGATTAGCAGTTTGTTTACAGTAATTCACTAATTAGTGTCACTAGTCATTAATGGTACTAGCAGTAACAATATTAGCAATAATACTAATTAGAAAATTATTGTTAATTACTAATTTATTGGTACAAACTTTTTGTTTCTAATTTTATCATTGTTACTTACTCATCAGTAATTAATGATAAGTAGTAACAGCAACACTAATTAGTTGTAAACTAACAATTTAGTTTTTGTTAAACTAAATTGTTTATAATTTACAATATTGAAACACTGCGCCCAAATATAATTATAAATTGCAATTAAATGTATTCACAGTTAATTAGTCAGTTTTTTGGAACAGGTTTACACAAATGTAAGAATAGCCACAATGTACTCTCTTATCTCTAACGAAACGTTTACAAGTCATAAATTACAATTCTTAAAGGTTATAGCTGATAATTCCAACCAAGTGGCTGAACGTTTTGTGTCGAAAATTGCTTTTCGTTTAACAAGCAGAATAACAATAATTAATTATTCCTGTTTGCATTATTACCTGTTTCTTAGTAGAGGTTAATTAAAAATGATAATTGAACAAGTAAATAATTATTTGAGGAGCTCATCAATATTGTCCACTTCCTATCACAATTCCGTTCTTGCCTAAGTATGTAATTAACTTCTAATGGCAAGGTTAACTTAATTAGTTTTTAATGTCCATATTAGGGAAATGGAAATTTTTGTGACTTTCTTACTGCATCTCCGTACTTCATTTCGAATATTAACCTAAACAAAAAAGAGATACAAATTTTTATTAAAAAATCATTACATTTTTACCTAATATTTGCTAAAACATAAAATGTGTCCTGAAAGATATACAATTACATGACATTCGAAAATCGTGAATTCAAAGTCGACAAATTTTTGATACTGTCATTTCGGTCGGCCATCTTGCGCACATTCCCGCGCTAACGCGAAATCTCTTCAGAACATCTATGAATAGACTTACCGGCAAGTTTTGCGTCAGAACGGATTTATTTGTCGGTGATCAGATCAAAGCGAAAAAATTTCAACCGCTATTTATACCAGCCGGTATATTTAACAATTTCCGATGAATTTTCGCGCGACATCTTCGCGTTTACGTTTCTGTTGACATTTTGCATTTCTCGTTTCGTGTGTTCAAGTGGCTGATTCACGGAGAAAGCGTGATCACGCATTCCGTGTTGTGCACGCGTTATCTGTAACGTGAGATTACTGTCTTTCGTTAAAATTCATTTCTCGAGGTATCTTACACAGATGTCCTTGGATAGCATAACTCATGACCGAACACGAACTTTCAGCGATGCAATTTTCTTCTTTGTTTATTAAATATCTTCCTCGAAAAACTTTTTCAGAAAAGACGTTTCATCAAAATCTTATGTTGCTTTTTCTATATGTACTATTTTTATATTATTAGGATATTAAACATACACTTAATGTTTGAAATTATAAGATAAAATCATATATTGAGAAAAACGTGGTCGAGTGTCGCCTCTACAATAGCATGGAACACGAACATTGTAGAGATGGCGCTCTGTTTAAAAAAGCAGAAAGCAAACATTCCTAAGGGCACGTTTACAAATGAAGGATTCAGTCATTGTCAATTATTAAATAGTAAATGTATAATCATCGAATTAAGTATTTAAGGGTTATTTTTGTTTACACCACTCAGTAAATGTATAAATATATTTAGTTTAATAAAAGATGTGAACATAAATATTAGAGGGGTTCGCTGCGTCAAGTGTCAAGCAGTGACAGTCCGCGTAATGGCGGGAAAAGTTTCTCCATGAACCGTACACGCAATAACGCGTGAGTGTATATTTGTCCTATTACAAATTCAAATATAATCTTTTTGTAATTTTAATACGACTGTCAAGTACGTTGAAGTAAATGTGTGTGGTCCAAAGTAGTACTTTGTAAATTCATGAAGTGAACGGACTTTGGTGTGCCATAGTCTTTGAAATTGATGGGTACCTCCGCATGCTGTCAAAGTAAACCGAATAATTTCAAACACCACGGCTTTGCCAAAACACTATATACAGCTTATTTGCATACTTTAACTTTATCGTATTTTCATTCTTTGAACGCATGCCAACCGCAATACTAACAATTGGAAGAGTGGACTTTCATTCTTGTCTAGGGTAAGTTATCGTCGATCATTATACTTGCCACGATACTGTGTTACATGTTGCGTTGTATCTGTAGTTACACCATTCACATGTTGTGTATTACAGTAAGTCGCACAATATACTTATAATTATACGTAACTGTCACACCGTTTAAATACGAGACACCGTATGTAAATGTTATTAAAGTAAATGAGTGTTATGAAAATAAACATTATTAAAATAAATAAGCGTTATTAAAATAAGGGTTAGGTTAACCCTTCTGAGTCAGGTTATGTCAAATTTGTTTTGACCGATCAGAGGAGTTATGTTAAGGTTAGGTTCTATTCAGAAGGTTCGATTATTTCTTAGATCGAACCTTCGTCGATATCGATTGTGTACATTCGTTATAATTTCACGGCATTTTCAAATCGTGACTAGCGCGATTTATCGACGTCCTTGGGGCACGCTTCTCTAATAACCGTGCAAAATGGCTCTCCCGTTCCGAGTGAAACGAAAATGTAAAACAAATGCTTAAACGTTGCACGCTAATTTTCGTGCAATATGATATCGCGAATTAGACGAAAATAATTGATAAATAAAATTGAACGGACAATTGATTAGCAAATAATTGCAGGTGGTTCCGTGTGGTCTTCGAAAATTCTGGCACGTAAGACTGTAATTAAACATTTTCTATCCCGTAGTCGTGAATTGAGAAATAGTTGACCCCCTCAGCGTCTGGATTTGAATCCTCGAACTAAACCGTGTAACCCCGAGTTTTCTGTTGTTTTAAATGTGTTGTTTGGAAGAAACCCGTAACTGAAGCATTTTTTTACTTGAGTGTATTATAAACGTATCATCTATCTTCATATTCTTTTAACATTCAAGGTACTAATTATTCTTCGAGGATCGATATCTCGGCGCTTGAAAAAATTATTTTTCTTTTTCCGGTTCAGACATTGCAATCACTGCTTGTTTTATCACTCACTTGCTTTAACACGTTCGAGCCAGGGATTCTTTGATATGTGTAAATTTACTCAAGTGAGCGCGAACGTGTTAAGTGGATCGGACAATTTGATAGAGACAGCGAATTTCTTTCGAGTTAATTCGATGAAATATGGCGGACATATTTTTGCTGTAGGGGAGATGTGTTACAGGGTGTTCCAGAACATGAACGATAATGATTTCGAATTAATATTACGTGGTAAACTAGAAAATTAATTTAATAGTCCTAATATAATAATTTTAAATTACATTTCGAAAGAAATTAATCAAGTATAAATAAAATAGAATCATCTCTATGTCCGAATGTTTTGGACCTCCCTGCACGAAGCAAAGCGCGCGAAATTCGAACGGTGCCAGAGACAAACATTAATTTTCCGAAGTATTTTCGCGTACAACCGTCCGATTTGAATAGTCACTTACTATTATTAGCCGGACACGTGTCAGTTTGGTCTTGACGAGTTAAAATAGTATGCTGTCCATCAATGTTACCCGTAAAAGTTTGTGCACTTGTCGCACCTTCAGCATTCTCACGCCACGCCTCCCATCCTCCTCTTTTTTTTTTTAGTCGCCCTTTTCTTGTTTATGTTTGTGAAATTACGTAATCGCGTACAGGTATAAAACGATCATGAAAAGTCGTAACGCTGGCATTGAACCGAGATGTCAACAGCGGTCAAGGCGATCGTGTACTAAGATCCGATTGACACTTCCGCGAGCAGTTGCGGATGCACTTCCGCTTTTGAACACGAATTCTTACTGGAAAAGATTCCCTTCATAATTCAAATCAGTTTTATTTATTAATACATTTCGATTTTGGCACGGTTACAATTTTAACTTATCCTCTCGTTATATTGCCGTTTTTGTATGGACTCTCACACTGATAATATTTGTTATAGACGGTCTCTGGGGAATTTTTTTGTCACTTTTATAACGATTTTGGCACGGTTACAATTTTAACTTACACTCTCGTTATATTGCCGTTTTTGTATGAAGTCTTAGATCGATAGTATTTGTTATAGAGAGTCTCTGGGGAATTTTTTTATCACTTTTATAACGATTTTGGCACGGGTACAATTTTAACTTACACTCTCGTTATATTGCCGTTTTTGTATGAACTCTTAGATTGATAGTATTTGTTATAGAGAGTCTCTGGGGAATTTTGTTGTCACTTTTATAACGATTTTCGTTGAGGAGAATTTATGGAGACCTCTGTTATATTGCCTCGCTCTATATTGCCATATTTTATAGACACTGTAGAGTAATATGAGTCGTTAAAATGTGAGGCTATATAACTTTTACATCGACTTCCATCGTAGAGGATTTATGGAGACCCCTGTCATATTGCCTCGCTCTATATTGCCATATTATGATAGATAATATAAAACGATCATGTGAGTCATTAAAATGTAATGCAATATAACGAGAATCACTTTTAATATTACCTTAATATTATCACTCAAATTTTAATAAACAAATAAAAAAATTTAACTTTTATTCCCTTCTCATATTTCTTGTTAATCAAATTGGACGTGACGTCACTTTACAATCACTTATCTAATCCCATAATCACTTATTAAATTTTATAAAATATATCACATAATTTAATTAAAATAAGTAAAAAGTTTAGATTCGAACGACGTTCAGTTTAAGAAAAAAAGATCGTACAAGAAAGTGCGAATCTTGCGGTACACTTTGCTGTACAAGTTACATTTTGTCTCGGAGATAAGATATTCCACGTATCGATGCGATTCAAACAATTGCGTCATTCGATTAAAAACGTCACTGTGCGGTCATTTTCCAATAATAAAGCATCCATAATGTTCGCATCTTAACAGAGCGAGACTTAACACGAAGGTTTTAGGCCCACCATTTATCGACCTGAGATAAGTCTCGGGCTATCATAACAAGCAAGATTGTTTTCGTTTAAATTGTGTCCATTTAGCCAGATTAGAGATGGTAATCGATGATTAATCGGAACGTCAATCATCAGATTACATCATAAGAATTTTTTGTCCCGTTATTTTGCATGCAATTTGAGTCATTCCAGTACACTACTAAAAATATGGGGTCACCTATTAATTTTTGATATCTTAACATTTTAAGTACGGAAGGAACAATGTTTAACATTTATTAAATTTCATTTAGAATTTTTTTAATTTCGAAATCTTTCATATGCTAATTATTTATACTTGGTTTAAATATAAATTTAAATTATGAATCAGGTGGCCCCATAATTTTTGCATTTTGCACGTTTTAAAACGATGGGTTTGTCAAACTTTTATTTCAGCCTGTCACTTATGTTTTTTGAAGTTTTCCGTGCCAGACCGTGGACTCTATAATAATTTTACATGAATTGTTTAGGTGATGAACCAAGAAGTCAAGAAGGAGACTCCTTTGCAATTCAAATTCCGCGCCAAATTCTACCCGGAAGATGTTGCGGAGGAACTCATCCAAGATATCACGCTGCGTCTTTTTTATCTTCAGGTACAGACGGCTAGATATAGAATTGTCACAAGAAAACAAGGTTAAATACGTAACTGCATATTATTATTCAATTCATCTGTTACATGGATGCGTGATATGCTAGAAACGTAATCACTTATTAAATCATATATTCAAAACGACTGGTTAATAATGATTTGTCAAGGTATTAAATCCACAACTTTTCAAGTCTTCATTTACTGGAAAAAATTATATCTACATCCATCCATTCCTAGATTCTTAAATCTCTTATTTAGTATTAGTACTTCTACTGAAATTTTGAACCCAAAGCTAATCATATCTTGCATTTACATTTAGGTAAAAAATGCCATTCTTACGGATGAAATCTACTGTCCTCCGGAAACGTCTGTACTGTTAGCTTCCTACGCGGTCCAAGCGAGGCATGGCGATTATCAAAAAGGTACTCACACTGCTGGTTTCTTGATGAACGACCGTTTAGTGCCACAACGTGTCGTGGACCAACACAAGATGAGCAAAGAAGAATGGGAAAGTTCCATCACCAATTGGTGGCAGGAACATCGTGGAATGTTGCGTGAGGACGCAATGATGGAATATTTGAAAATCGCTCAGGTAATAATTTACTAATTTTAACTTATCGATTAATCGCTGATTTGTTTCTTCTTCTTCTCCGTAGGATCTGGAAATGTATGGTGTGAACTATTTCGAGATAAGGAATAAGAAAGGTACAGATCTCTGGTTAGGTGTCGACGCTTTGGGACTGAACATATACGAGAAAGATAACAAATTGACGCCAAAAATTGGTTTCCCCTGGTCCGAGATCAGAAATATTTCGTTCAATGATAAGAAGTTTATTATTAAACCGATCGACAAAAAGGCACCGGACTTTGTCTTCTTTGCGACTAGAGTTAAAATCAATAAACGAATTCTGGCGCTGTGCATGGGAAACCATGAACTGTATATGCGTAGACGCAAACCGGATACAATTGATGTGCAACAGATGAAGGTATCTTTAATTGATATTGTGACTAACAGGCGGGTACTAACGCGGTTATAATTTAAAGGCTCAAGCAAGAGAAGAAAAGATTGCCAAGCAGCAGCAGAGAGAAAAGTTGCAACTGGAGATTGCCGCGAGAGAACGTGCCGAAAAAAAGCAACAGGAATACGAGGAGAGACTTAGGAATATGGCTGAAGAGATGGACAGGCGGCAAGCTGAATTGAACGAAGCTCAAGAGATGATCCGACGTTTGGAAGAACAACTGAAACAGTTACAAGCTGCGAAGGAAGAGTTGGAGGATCGCCAGAAGGTATGCACATTTAAGATACAATCTAATGTTGTTTTTATGAACTACCTTCTTATATGTATTTTACTCTTCAAAGGAACTCACAGCCATGATGGAAAAACTGGAACTTTCGCACGAGATGGAAGCAGCAGAGCGTGCTAAACTTGAACAAGAAATAAGAGCCAAGCAAGAGGAGGTGCAACGTATACAATCAGAAGTGGAAGCAAAGGATGCAGAAGCAAGGAGACTGCAGGAAGAATTCGAGGCTGCCAAGTATAAAACATATCTCTGCTTGAATTCATTTATAATGCATAGGATTCGCTGCTATATTTCAATTTGCATAATTTTGAATAAGTAGATTGAGGCAAGAGGAGGCTGATCGAGCATATCAAACTAATACAACGCCACACCATCACCACGTCGAAGAAAACGACGAAGGTGAAGAAGAAGGTGAAGACGAGGTTCCTCACGGTGACGTTACTAAGGATCTTGCAACTGATGAGTCGATAATTGACCCAGTTGAAGAACGGCGCACTCTAGCAGAAAGAAACGAACGTCTTCATGACCAGCTGAAGGTACTTAATTTATTTGTTGTTGTAATCTGTTATTTCTGGAACAAACACGTTAAAGCAAAAATGATATGTTGCAGGCATTGAAACAAGATCTTGCACAGTCACGCGATGAATCGAAGGAAACTGTTATGGATAAAATTCATAGGGAAAACGTTCGTCAGGGTCGTGACAAGTACAAGACGCTCCGTGAGATTCGCAAAGGCAATACCAAGCGTCGTGTCGATCAATTCGAAAACATGTAAATTATGTATCCATTTGCCTCCTATTTGCCTGCCTATTTCGTCCCACTTTGAATTCTCTTCCAATTTCGTGAATACATACATGGAACTCGGTAATCGCTTACTATTTATGAAAAGACATACCAGATTCTCTGATTGATCTATACAAAGACAATTTGTGAAAAGCAAAATGTATTGTTTTATAATATTTTCTTTTTTGAGATGTTTTGTGGTATAAGTCGCTTCCAGTTTACGAGTTACGTAGTTTGTACGTGTATCACTATTTTTCGACGTCGATTCTATACTCTGAAGTACAGTTAAGCATAAAGCTCTCATGATTGGCAAGGAACGCGACGAGCGACCAACTTGCGCCGTCTTCCACAATTTGCTTCCGTTACTGAAAAAAGAAAAGAACAAAAAGAATGTTTATATATTTTTTCACAACAAGTAAATTTTCTTGCTGTTTTAGTTGCCAATTATTTAACGTTGATTACTAATAATAACTTCGTTACTTTTAGCTATGTTGCTAGCTAATGTTGTTTCTTTTCCTTTTCTCTTTTTTTTTCTAACGATAGCCCTTTTGCTAAAATAACAAGAAAATGCGTTACATTATTTGTGAATATTAATTTTATTTTTATCTAACCAGTATATACTGTTTCTAAGCACCGGCGCGCCAGTATTTTCTTTGTCAAAGTATTACTGTTGGTCACCGAGCGTAACGCCACATGTTGACTCTTTCCGCTGGTTACCTATTCGTCGCGGTCCTTATCACGTCACGTAATGTCCGTCCTTGATAAGGATTTGCCCGACTAAAATATTTTATATTGTTATTCGTGTCATCGCTTGCTTTCGTTAATGAATTAATATTATTTTTTTTTTGTCGATAGCGGTCGCTATACATCCACAGCATGTTTATGTACACTTTTCAATTTTATTCTCACTCGTCATTTTATACCAGGCATGATCAAGTGGGTGCTCGCGGGCTGTATTAAGTTACGTCTTTACTTTCTCATACCACCGAGCTGTAGGGAAACCTATGCCATACTGGCTTTTTAAATTTCTAAATTTCCAATTCTTCTACTTCTCAGTTTTTGAATATCCAAATTTCTGAATTTGAAAATGGGATTTGCTGGCAATGTAAATGGTGGCAATATAACAAGAAATGCACTTGGTCATACTTGATTTACAGTTTCGGAGATGAACCGAAGATGAGCAATAGATGAGTTAATATTTTAAAGCAGCACGAATCAGTCACCATTATTATTTAGTGATTTATAAATAATCCCCAAATATTAGTCTAAAATAGGTTCATAATGTACACGCGACCGCTTAGTTTATGAAACCCGAATGATATCCGTCTTTACAGTAATATAGAGAAGTTAAGCACGATGTATGAACTGTTAAAAAAGATATATATATATATACATATTATATACTTTAGTACGAACGAATTTCAACTACTGATTAGTAATTTTATATCGAACACACTTGTGGCCTTTATTGATATACATATATTAAAGTACTAATAATCAGTAATATAATATAGAAAAACGTAGGAGTATTGCGCGACTCTTTGTATTGCATACCTTCAACATAAGGTAACTGCGCGGTTCCTATGCAAAGGATAGGTATCAAGAATTTTGAAAGTATGAGAGGGTGAATGTGAGAGAGAATGCGACAATAAAGAATAACGGTACGAACGGTCAAATATTAGAAGAACATATATTATAAGATATGGCTGTCTGGTACGCCATAGAGATTCTAAAACAGCTTCTCTTTTTTGAAGAAATCTGTATGGTACGATAACGAAATCGATTGATACCCAAGCAAAACGAAAAGTGTAAAAAGCCTCTAAATGCTGCCAATTTTTTGACGGAATGCAAACAAAGAGCGTTATTGTAAAGCAAAACAATCTTTGCATTGATTCGATAGGAAAAATGAAGGAATGTTAAAAAAGCCGACCTTTATATTGGAATTTATACTTCATCACATTATCATCATCATATATTACGGTTAATATGAAGGGAAAGTACAGGAAAAATAATGATAAATATTTTTTGATTATATTTAATAATTACAATTTACAAATTAGTAGTGTTATTATTATTATTATTATATTATTTTATTATTATTATTATTATTATTATTAATATTATTAATATTAATATTTACAATCTAGTAGTGTTATTATTGAGATAATATTAAATGAAAGTCGAAGCAAAACATTTTATAATCGTGTCTATTTGTATTCTTAAAACAAGGTGTCGAATGTGCATAGCAATAACTAAATATTTAGTACGATACAACGTCATGCTCTAACATTCAAAAACATAGACAAATAATATTTTTAAAGTAAGAAAAAACTTGTCTGGATATTCTTAACCATTAAACGCTTGGCAACGGAAGCTTTTTTAATACATTCCAAACAAATTTTTGTAAAATGTTGAATCTACGTTGGAAAGATTTTCACCTGTTTATAAAATTTGTAAGAAACTTCAATTGTAATGGAAGCCACTTTTCTATACACGTTTGAAATGTACTTAAATAGGCCTACATATATTCCTAATAATGTTATCAATACGTGTCGTATTTATTCATATTCAAGAAAATTGATGAACAGCCCTAACGTGGATTTATAAATACCTTATAAATGATTTCCTTGTGAAGGTAATTAATATAATGTAAATTACCTAGCTAAATTCTTAGCTTGAAATATGATGTATGTAAATTGGTATTGTACACCTTCATAGGGTTATTATCAAGGATTAATTTACAGCGGAGTCTCACTATATGGCACTATAAGTTTCTCAATTTCTAAATTAGAATTTGAAATTTTATATAGAAGAGTGCCATATAGTGAGACTGTACTGTATATATGTATCTAAGGTGCGCATCGCGTTCAACGTTACACGGTGCTATAATTTCTTTTCTTTACGACATATCCAAGCGTATAAAACTATGGTAGGAGAAAAAAGTGCATTTCTGTTTCTTAAAATGAATGTTTATAACCTTTGATACTTGACGATATTTCCCGACGAAACAATCAAATTCAATCAAAATACTTTTGAATGTTCCATTTTTATACCGAAAGAATGATCTTTGTAGCAGTATTATCGATTAATTAAAAACAACGCATACAAAATACAACACAAGATACGACTACAAAGACGCATAGACATTGTATTTTATCGAAAGCATTATTTGTTGGTGCGCGGATATATGAAAATCACTTGTATTTTGCTGAAAAAGTTAGACATTGTTTAAATAAAAAAAATCATATCACACCTGTTGAATATACGATTATTATACCCTGTGTACAATCTCTTTTTCAGTCAAATACAATTAAAAATTGAACTCTGTAATAATCACACATAGTTTTTTGGTTCAATAGTTTCCTTATAAGAAATTTATAAAATTTCACCAGTTCAAACTTTTATTATCTCTTTTTCTATTATACGTGTTTTGTTCGTTAAAATGAAACTAATTGTTATATTTGTTTCTTGAATATAGTGGAAGAACGTAATGGAACTGCAAGCGGTATTTGAAATTTCCCGCGCGATCACGTGATCCGGCCATTTACCAAACACCTGTTCGCTCTCTAAATGGCAACAGCGCAATTAAATATTGCACCTGCGCTAAATTTCTCAACGGACGTCGACACAGCGTTGTCTCGGCTGCGATGCGTTTCATGTGCGGAAAGAATGTTGGGTTACAATAGACAAAGCCATGATGCTGAAAATCTTTTCTCAGGTTCGTCCGACGATGACACCAGCTACATTGGGTAAGTTTTTTGCGTCCTTGAATGAACACGTGGTAATTCGTACAGTTTTTGATGATATGAACACAATACCGGCGAGACTTGCGGTTTGTACAATGTCCACGATTTGTTTACATGTTCTTTAACATTACTCGATTTTTAATACTACAGAATAGACCGCCTGTGTATTGTTTCAGTAAATAAGATAGAGCACTATGCGACACGAATGGCAGTCGCTGTTGTCAAATGAATATTCGTCGACATTTCATTAAATGTCACGATTAATGTCATGAATTTGTTTATGTATATGATTTTTTACGAAATTCGATACTATGGCATGTGACATTACATGTTTACACTTGATATGTACGAATGCATTCATACGCATATTCGAATTCCAAGTGATGACACTACGCGTACGACATTCAAAACGACTAATAAATATATACAATCGATTGTATTCGATTTGTAGCAATCTATTTCGGTGTAACGCACGTAATGAAATTTATTATTGATCTCTTTCTGCGTGATGTAAAATTAGATTAAATAATAGTACGATGTATATTGTGATGCCAGCGTACATGTCAGAGCACTTGCACATCGATGAATCGAGGCACAGAGAAATTTACATCATACATGCTTTTTTTTAATATATAATTATAATAGTAAATGACACCCGTTACGTTCTTTGCTATTCCAAGGTATAGATTACTTCGATACAATATTTTTGACACAGGAGTATTTATTTTATGTTACGTTTTTAGAATTCTACGTGCGTTTGAACGGTTTGTGTTTGTTGCAGTAAGAAAGGTTCGGGCAGTTCGGCGAATGAATTCGATGAGTCGATTCAAGCCATGTGCGATATTTATGGACAGACACCGCCGAGAACTCGTCTGAATCGCAAGAAGAAATACATGAAGCAGAGACTTAATGGAGGGTAACTTAATTAGTTTGTTCACTTTTGTTTTGATACCCGTTTAATCCTTTTACCTCCTTGGTCCTTGCTTCTGATTATTCAGGGAAAATACGCGGTAAAAAAAGGACGTTAGCAGCATTCCTGAATTATAATATTTTATTTCATAAAACGATAGTTCATCATCGGATAAATGACGCATAGTATAACTGTATAACAAATTCGAAATTTAATTTTAAATGTACACCCGGTATATAAAATTTGTAAGAACAGCAAAAGCAAATCAAGTAAAAATTGATGTCGTATACAATATTAATTCGGTACAAATTATGAAGCATTTGATCTGTTTTTACAAGTGCATATGAAATATTACAACGGTTAAATTTTGAGAGAAGCGTCTCATAGAATGTACCGCTTTAGTGAACGAGTACAAGACAGTAACCGCCACGTTTTTATATTCCGCTTAAGAAAAAATGTTTTTAGTTATGTTTTATTTTAACGCCGATTATATTATTTGCTTTCAGAGATACGAAATCGTTAGACAAGGAGACACCGTCGAAATTACTGATTCGCAGACGAAACACTTTGGACAGTATAATTTTCAACGAAATGTGCGATAAGGCGGACAGAGATTGCGAGAACGAGGCGAATCAGGATATGGCGAAAGAGGGAAGCCGGAAATGTAAAAGAAGCCTAAAAGTATTGCGCGGGACTGAACGAGATTTGAAACTCGACATGAAAGCTGCGTACAATTATGCCGAGAAATTTGATCACTGTCTAATATCCACTCCAAATCCTATAAAGGTACACGAACAAATGTAAAGAAATTATGAAACATTGTTTAACAAAAGGTTTTTGCAGATTGAGACTAGAAACAGATTTCGTTGTCTGCGATCGAAACCCATTGATGTAGAAGAGAAGAAGATTGAAACTGTAATAGATGAGCCAGATTTAGTCATAAATAGTAGGGAAAGTGTATCACAGTCGCCACAAACATTGGGTCTTAAGGAGCGAGAAATATTTCACGATACGTTTTCGTTTCTTATTAGACTGGTACACAGATTTCACTATCAGTATTTACATGAAAGATACGGTTATATTATTTAAAGAACTTTATGTTTTCTAGGGTAGCACAGAACGTAATTGTCGGCGCCAGATAAGTCACGAGGAGACTCGTTGGCAAAACGAGCTGAAAGATCTGATATGGTTAGAATTACAGGCTCACCATGCTGATCGCAATCCTGTGGCTCAAGACGAGTACTTGTGCAAGCAACGCGAGGCTGTAGAAGGTTTACTCAAGGAAATAATGGAGTACAGGTGAATTATGTAAGAAGTTATTGATGTTCTAAAGATAGAGCAAGATATTAAAGCGAAATGATACTGTTCGTTTGTAGATACGACCCTATTGCAAGCGTAAAGAATAGTAATACACCTTGGATCAATTTGAACACTAAATGCGTAGATCGTATGGTGTCTTCAGGGTCCAGCCCGAATATAGAGTTAGGTATTTGTCCAGGCTGCCTCTCGATGTATTGCAGAGCGTGCGCGCGAGCACAGGGTGAAGCATTACAACAAGTGGAGGGTTTATTAGCAAGATTAGAAGTGGCAGAATCGCTTTATCCTTCGTCGCAAGCTTTGGCCGCACAATATCCGTTATATAAAAGTACAGAATTTATTGGTAGAGTGAAAGCGATGTGTCTCTGGTACAACATGACGAAACATCATCGACTCAAATTGCAAATACTGGGAAAGCTGCTCATGATGTTACGTACTAAGAAAAAGCATGATGAAAATGTAGATTCTGGAATAAGGTACGAGACAAAAATGACGGTAACATAGTGTTCTATTTTAAAGTGTAACTTTTTTTAACTCCAGTTCTCGATCTTCGGATACTGTTGATTCTTCAGAGCACAGACATATTTTGGTACGATTCGAAATGTCGAATCCACAGGAAGAAACTTCTAGCCCCTCCGATAGTAATAACAGTAATAATTCTTCTGTTGGTTTATCGTTCGCACAGTCGTGGCCTTCCACCCCCGAAACTTCCTTGACATGCCTGGAAGACGATAAAGTAGAACGGCTCGATTTTTATTTGGTCGAGTTTGACCGACAAGCCTATAGGTAATATTTAAAATATAATTTGGTTATCCTGTGTATATGTATACATTTAACTTTGTAGGAAATATATCGAAGATGTACTGAAAACCAGAGGTCTGAGAAAAAGTTTGAACTTTTTAGAGAGATTGCATACTTCTGTTTTAAGAAAAGCAAGACTGACCCTAGAAAAGATTGATGTAAGCGAATGTGATAATTCTGTGAACGAAGAGTATGAAGGTGATGAAGAGTTACGCCGATATGGTGTGTGGAGTCCGGAAGCCAGGGAATTAAATCTTCCATCGTATAGGTAAACAAATGAATTAATGCGTATGACGTGCTTGTGACTCATTGTCATAATTTAAATAATCATACCTTCTACAGGGCTGCTTTTGTATTTTTGTCGCGAGTCCCGTTAGATATTATCCATGAATTTTTACGAATGCGATTGGAGCAAAAACCGGAACAACCTAGTCCATTATCAGTGAGGCAGCTAATGCGCGAACTTAGAGAAGGTCTTAGAATCGCTTGTATTCATCGTGACAGATTCTCTGCTCACTCTTCTGCAGCTATAGTTAGCAATGGTGATAATTGCGGCCAATTGTTCCAAGAAGATGTAAAAGACTTTGATGAAAGCTTGAAAGCTGTTTTTGAGGTATATCTGGACTACCTGCAGCAATGGGTAGACATGGTACAACATGATAGTTTCCATAAAAATTTAATCATGGACGAGTGGATATTCGTGAAGTCAATTGCTGGAAATATATTGAACGGTTACAAGATTGCTGGAGTAAAATTTTGGTAATAAATTAAAGATTTTGTTAATGTGCTGAACATTTGTCTTATACTTTTATTTACAGTGAAATAGCGAAGACGATGATTAAACAAGTCAGAGAGTTTCTTAACGAGAGACCCAGGGAGATTAAAGAGACTACAGAAGAATGGAGCGACGACGATGATTTGCCGAACAAGTAAGCACCGATTTATTCTTATAATATACAATTGCAAATGTTTATTTTAACCTGATGCGTGGTTCAGATACCACTTTATGTTCGTGGGCCGGGAATGGCAAGGGATGTTCGTGGAGGCTCGAGAAAAGGTTGTTAAAAGCGTCACTCTAGCCAGGTGTTTAAAACGTGATATCGAAAAGTGGTCTGTTTTCGAAGAGGAATTAGAAGAGTCCTTAAAAATGTTAAAGGTAAACTTCATGTCATTCTAATGCTGTATAGCCGTATAGTTCTGTCCATATGTTCATAGGAAACGGTTATGGATTTGAGACATCAGATAACAGTTGTCATCACCAATTTCCAACGCGACCTCGAACAAGCTGAAGAACCGAACAGCGAGTGTGACAGATTCGCTTTCTGTTCCCGAGTCAGGGAAATACTTCATCAAGCTTATCGCATGGGCTTTGATTATTACAAGGAAACGTGTAAATTATTTGCGCTGGAAGAGAAAGCCGTTCTAGCCCGTGGTTTAGTTTCTTTCGCTCTATTGTGGATGGAGTTTGTCCGAACGCGTTGCGAACGTGGAAGAGGTTTAAGGCCCAGATGGGCAAATCAAGGTTTAGAATTTCTTATCACAGTTTGCGAACCGCATAATACCAAACATTTATCCGACAATGAATTTGAGGAACTAAAAACCTGCATGGATCGTTGCATTTCGCATGTCGTTGGAAGCGCCAATATAGCCACAAACGCAGAAACAGAAAGTGAAGTTTCATTTCGACTTTATTCCTGTGTCCTGACGAAACATTATACACTGTGTAAGATGTTTCATTTTATTTTAGGTTTTAGAAGACTGTCTCATTCGAGAGCTTCATCACCTTGCCACGCAAGAAGTAGAACTGCAAGTATTTCCCAGAAGCCTAGAGAAGCTTTCAAATCGCCTGATGTCTCAACGAATTCCAAAAAATCCTTCTCACCAAGCGTAGTAGACGGAAGTGCGCCAGTTATGAACACGTTTGATCGTAGCGTATCCAGGCAGGAGAGAGTTACTCGTGCTATAAGAAAGGTAGACTGTGATATTGACGACAGGCTAAGGGGCCGTGAACTTATTGGTCAAGTTACAGATAGGAAGGCTGTAGATAGAGTTCATGTTAAAGCGAGAAGAGTTACGTTCACTTGGCAAAGGGGTATTAAGATAGGTAGGGTTGAATGTCTTCCCTTGCTTCACTTCAGTGTTGCACCAAGCATCAATATTGTTAATTCCAGGACAAGGAAGATTTGGTAAAGTGTATACTGTAGTCAACAATCAGACTGGTGAGTTACTAGCCATGAAAGAGGTTCAGTTGCAACCTGGAGACCATAGAGCGATCAGGAGAGTGGCAGAAGAGTTGCAGATATTTGAAGGGATTCAACACAAACATCTAGTTCGATATTATGGGCTAGAAATTCATCGAGTAAGATTTAGTCTTGAAACAGCTACTCTGCTTTGACCAAGTGTTAATATTGTATTCGTTGCAGGAAGAGATGTTAATTTTCATGGAATTCTGTGCGGAAGGGACGTTGGAAAGTTTGGTAGCTGGAAGTGGAAATGGTTTACCGGAGTCACTAGTTAGGAAGTATACTCACCAACTCCTTTCGGCCGTCGAGGTGTTGCACTGTCATGGAATAGTACATCGTGACATTAAATGTAACTTAAATTCATCCAAACGTTTGGTTCTGTTAACATTTCTATCATTAAATCACAACTTATGATTTACAGCTGCCAATATTTTTTTAACGGACGAGGGTAATTGTCTGAAACTCGGAGACTTTGGAAGCGCCGTGCAAATTAAAGCACATACTACAATGCCTGGTGAATTGCAAGGATTTGTTGGCACTCAAGGTTAGTACAGTAATCTCGCTATATGGCCGTCTCGAGTTCTTTACATGGTTATTGAAAGTTTCTGAATGCGCATGAATTGTGTGCAGCTTACATGGCACCAGAGGTATTTATGAAGTCAGAGAGTGGTGGACATGGTAGGGCAGCTGACATTTGGTCGGTTGGTTGTTGCATCGTGGAAATGGCCAGTGGACGAAGACCTTGGTCAGATTACGATTCAAATTACCAAATTATGTTTAAGGTATAGTATCTTGATGAAGATATAATATAATGTTAATTATATTGTATAATATGGTTCCATGTAAATGTTATAGGTAGGAATGGGTGAGACTCCAGCATTGCCAAAAAATCTCTCAGCCGAGGGGATTGACTTAATCAAGAAGTGTTTGCAACATGATCCGAAGAAAAGATTTACTGCGAACGCCTTACTTACACTTCCATTTGCGCAAGCGTACGAAGACGTTAATGCTGACTTAACAGTAGCGCGCCAAACGTAGAATTTCTGATTCTTTCGAATCTGAAAATAATATTATTACCTGTATCAGGTTATATTAGTAGTACACATAGTTAAAACTATTTTTGTATCACATAATTTTTTCAGTCATAATATTTCGGTTGTTATAGATGAAAAAGATATATATTTATATGTGAAAATTGAGTAATTTGCAGTATTAAAATGCAAGAAAAAAAAGATTTCAATGTCTATGTATACTGCATGAATTAGGATTTCTAAACTTATATCATATCACTGTTTATGATGTACTTTAAATTATTTTTTAATGTTGAGAAATATACATATAGTTTTTACTGCGTTGTAATTGACGTTGTATTTTATGCAGAAGAAAATAAAAAAAAACACGGGTAGTGTCACAGTTGTGTTTATTTTTGCACAAGAAAACGTACACATAATACAACATACTTGCCGCAAAGTAGTTAATTACAGAGGTATGCTGTGTATACTTTCTGTGTGAACAGAAAGTGAAATGTGCTAACAAGTTTATCTAATTATATTAGACGCGTACGAAGACGGCTATATCAACATTACTTTCTTGCCGTAGCTTAATAATTCATATTTAATCATGGAAACACAGTTTCACTTATTTTATCACATTTTACCATACATACAATTTTCACATATGGCACGCCGAGGAATCCTTTGTATTCTTCCTATTAAATATTTAAATTTTTGAATTTCCCGCCATTGCACTGCCTGGCGGGAGACTGTGCCATATACCGATCAATTAATAATTTGACATTAACTAATAGTAGTCTTCGTACGAAATACTTTCAATTCTATCGATTTACAGGAATATTTCCTATTCAATAAAATTATTACTATGGTTGGCTTTCGCCTGATATGCGCGATATTCTTGGCCGCATGGGTGCGATCGCAAATGATCTTGCGATAGAGTTACAAGTTATCTTTAACAACACCTTATGTTCCATCTTATCTTAAATTTAATAGGTATTTCGTGTCTTAAAGCTAAATATAGAACACTTTCATATGTCATGAAGAGATGCGCGAAGAGAGATGTACATTTTCAGTGTTATGCTTAAACACGTGCGTCGATATGTGTATGCACATAACAATATGCGTAAAACATACGGTACCTTGCGTATTGTTTCGTTTAGTAACTGTATAAAGGAACTAGCACAATTCCTTGCGTTCGTCAAAGATTCACACTCGTGTGTAGAAAAACGAAGCAAAATCCTTTAAACTCTAAATACGTAACAGATAACGACGGTATAGAGATAAAACTGCATATTCCATCAAATGACAATTCTAACGTACGCGGAATATATTTGTACAGCGGAGAAGTAGTAACAAAGCTTCAAGGAGCAACTTCATAAAATATGAATAATGTCAACAAATGTGCCGTATCATGTAACACGTGGGTGTGCTGTATGTATAGGTGTGCATTTCTCTATTCGCCTCTAAATTATTCGCAAACTATAACAACTTCGTACAAGGCGAGAACGTTGCTAAGGTATAGCGCCAAACGACAATCTTACTATAATGTCACCTCTTTAAATGGCATATCTTTTTTATCAATTTATGTAAGTGGTAATATAATTCAAAATGTCATGCTACCCTAGGGAAACTCTAGGAAAATTCAGTGGTGCTAGGGGAATTTTGAAAGGAGTCTAATGAGAGGTTAGGGAGGACCCATAAGGACAAACAGAGAAGTCTATAGAAGATAAACCTAGTTCTTCAATGGACTCAAGAGAGAATTCAAAATTCCTAGAAAGATTTGAGAAGATTCTAAAGGGAAGTTATGACCTAAGTACTTTGAAACTTTGTCATTTTCATTCAATCAAATCATTAAAGTCCCTAATTTTCAGATTCTAAGATGCTTAGGGAACTGGAAGTTCTTAGGGAGGACTCATAAGGAAATAGAGACAGTCTATAGAACATAAACCTAGTTCTTCAATGGACCCAAGAGAGTATTCAAAACTCCTAGGAAGATTTGAGATCCTAAAGAGAAGCTAGGATCTACTTTGAAATTTTGTTATTTCATTCAATCAAATTATCAAATTATTAAAGTCCCTAATTTTCAGATTCTAAGATGTTTGGGAAAATGGAAGGTCTAAGAAGTTGAACTCCAAGCAAATAGGGGAATCCCCGAGAAGGAATGCCGTTTAGAGAGGTGATAGTTTGAGGAAACGAATTCGTCGCTTAAGAGCTCAGAACTCAAGGAGGGGAAGTAATTGTAATTAGAATAGTTGATTAGATGTAGAAGATTAACGCGATAGAGAGATAGAGAGCTATCGTCAACGTTTACCGGTCTATCGAGAAGGGCAAACCGCCGACCTACCTAAGAATTGGACAAGAGTTTACTGTGCGGGCGCCAACACACGAACGATTGGCCACGTTTTTTAGAATGTGTTGCAACAGACGAGGTCCGTGCGCTAGAAATCATTTTCTCTACCTTACCATCTTACTTTCTCGGTCCCTACTCGTGTATTCTATCTCCGTGTCTATCGAGGATTTCGCACGATCAAACAATAGTGAAAAAGAAAGGAACGTTGACGCTTTACCGATGACGTCAAAGATGTACGTCAGTCGGTAAAACGTTAACCTTGTACATAATTCTTTTTTAGTCAAATTCGATTCGATATAAATGCGCCTGTAAATATAAAAGTAGCTCTCGATAGTTTCTAACTCGATAAAGTCATTACACGCGTGTTACAAACAAAATGATTCACAATCAGGTTAGATTTAAACGATTAACTTTCTAACGAGACATGTACAATTTATAAAGCGTACGTTTCGATGAAAACTGTTAATATGCTACCAAAGAAACATTACATTTTGCGAATCTATTGTCGATTTACTTTAAACGAATTCTTTAACGCTACACGCCCAGTTATACATACATAGTTCCTAAATATCCCTAGATATCACTTGTCTAATCTCGCGGTTACATCGAAGGTTACAGTTTCTCTAGAACACTTAAAGTGGTGAGATTAAATTCGTTTAAACACCCGTATGCTACCATTAATAAATTAGACACGAACTATCGTTAATTAACAATTACAATCAACAGTGATATGAAAACAATTACTGTCCGCTTTCAGAGGAAAGGAACTTCCAGCGCTCGGACATGTTCGAGGATATTCGTAACAGGACTAGGATTTAACGATTGACCAATTTATGGATCAGAACTTTCCAACCGTTTCGTCGATATTCGATCTTCTGCAGATTTTGTGAATTTTCAAATTATCTCCAAGTAAAGTAACTTAAGATATCAAGAAACAAGTCTTCAAATATCAACGAAACACTTGGACCTTTCATTTATGTATTGGTCAAAATGATCGATTATATTCGACATTAATAGCGAGAGAGTTGATTCGGTAATTCGCAGAGCGATAGAAAAAAGCTTCTCTTCGAAGTAGCACAATCTTATATACTTGTGTATGTGCGCGTGATTCTACGGGGTCCACAGCTGCAAAGAAGACACGTGGCTCCAGCTCTTAGTTCAAATCCCTTGATTTAGTGGAAAGCCCTCAGTACAGCCAATCAGAACCACATGCCTTCTTTCCGGCTGTGAATACAAGGAAGGATAACTTTCTAAAAATGATCGCAGGTTCACGTTCCACGTGGTCGTCGCAAAATTGACCGCCCTAGGAGAAGCTTCCACCTACCATGGCGGAAATCTATGCTAACGATATGTAAAATTGCTAGCTAAGACCCGAACGACGGCAGCAGCCCCGAACGGAGGGGAATACCAAACATTGTCTACCAACTTGTGCGAGTTTGAGTTGTAATGGTAACTAGATTTATATACAACGTCTTGCAACCGGCAAGTAGGCAAACATTTCTTTCTACGATTCATACTACGATAAATACTTTCGTGGACAAGCTCGACTCGTCTCATTTCCGATTTCTTATTCTAGTACTTTCCTTATCGTTGGCCCGCCTGTTTCAACATGGCCGCCATGTCCCGGAGGCTCTGCTCGAGCGTGCGAGCGAAGCGAGTTGCGTTCGTTCTGCCATCGCCGTGAAAAGCGGATACGGAAAATATGACGCCGTTGTTTCTGATGTTGTATGCACAGCCATAACCGTCAGGCACCACTGGACCGTATCCTACGATCGCGTCGTTCTTTGTGGTTACCTGGAAAGGAAATTAATTACTGTAACAAGCGGCTCGTCGAGGGATTATGTTGTAGATATACTTTAGGGATATACTTTGTTATAAAATAATATCTCTGTAATAAGTTGTCAGGGTACTGTTTCTCAAAAATTGATAAATTGAAAAAATATTTCAGGTCTTAGGTCGACTCCAACCCGTCACTGTGTTCATCATGGTTTCCTTTTGGGCTACTTGGATTTCTAGGGAAACCCAGGATGTAAGGAAGGTTAGGTTAGGTTTTTGAGTCTCAGAATAATTTATAAAACTTGAAAAGATATCTAAAAATAAAAGTAATTATAATTATAAATGTAAAAAGTAGAGAGTACGTTTTAATATTGGTTTCTAAAAAGTGTTACTAAATATAGAAAATTGTGAATAGTGAAGAGTAAAAGTAAAGAGAGTGTAAAAAGGGTGCTTGAAATGTCGGTCGACACTTTACCCCTCGACAAGTAGTTTAAAGGCAGGAACCGTAATAGTTCTTCCGCTCATGAAATTAATCGTACGGAATGCTTCCGTTTTGCGTACACACTCGGAAGTCGAAGGGTGAGGTCCTTTGTTGTCAACTTAAAGTGGACCGAGATTTTGGTCGGAGCTGAAGGGATTTCCCTTTTGTGTCCTATCCTTGCTTTCATACAGGCAATTTAGATTTCAAAAAGACATTCTATTCTACTTTCATTCGATGAATATAGAATTCAAATAATTTCCAGCAACGATTTCGTTTTATTTTGTTGTAAAATATTTTTGATTATTGTATTATAGTGTTAGTCAAGTTGTGGTTAAAATAAAATGCATATGTTTAATGAAGTTATTTAACTTTATGATAGCTGTTACAAGACTACTTTGTATGGAGACACTTTCGTAAAGTACTTTTTTAAATAAATAAAATATCATGAATAAATATACTGGAAGTTTTACTTACATTCCTGATTGATACATACATCTCTAACCTAATTTTTCGTATATTCTTTTATTGTATATTTATATATATATCATCAATAAGATACAGTATAGTATGCAAACTGTTCTGAGCACATAATAGTTTCATATTTTTGTAAAAGTTTCATTCTTATGTTATTTATTTTCAAATTACCCGCGCATTTTTCAAGGAGTGACGTCATCGATGACATGTAGCGCCATCTCTCCTGCGAACAGGGTGAACTACACACTTTTGAAACAGGTGGTTCATTAGTTCACAAACAGTCGCCATCTAGCGGCGAAAATGGGAACTAATTAAAGTAGTGTTTCAAAACTGTGTAGTTCACCCTGTTCGCCGGAGAGATGGCGCCACGGTTTCTCAGGTGTCGCCATCTAGCGGCGAAAATGGGAACTAATTAAAGTAGTGTTTCAAAAGTGCGTAGTTCACCCTGTTCGCCGGAGAGATGGCGCCACGGTTTCTCAGGTGTCGCCATCTAGCGGCGAAAATGGGAACTAATTAAAGTAGTGTTTCAAAACTGTGTAGTTCACCCTGTTCGCCGGAGAGATGGCGCCACCAGTCCAATTTTTAAAATCCCAGTTAATATTGATTTTATTAGCTTAATTAACATGAATATGCACTAATTACATCGTAAAACAAGACTAATTAACTTTAATAAACCCAAAAACATACCCCGTCCCAAAATATAATATCTCCATGCTCCAATTAAAACCGAATTAAAGAGCAAGTACCCAACTCACAGCACACCATCAATCTTCCCTAAATGACTCAATCACAATTACCCACCTTTTTAAACACGTTAAGTGATTAAATATTCGACAATAATGAATATAACATACACCTTCAATCTGACTAATGATGATTCATCATGCACCGAATATTGCACATACATGAACATAACGATCTCCTATTCGCAGATCGATATTAATGAAAGTTAACGATACTATCAGACGTAAATTGATCGGCGATCATGAATACTGACCTGCGACGTCGAAAGGGCAAAATGATTAACGATCTCGTAAGCCTGGTTCGTGAAGATCTCCGGCATCGGTTCTCCGGTTTCTTTGGCAGTGTAACGGAGGCCCATTAAGTGGTTGTCGATTCCCTGACCAGTTATGTTATCGTTCATCTCTTTGGTCTGCCTCTGCACCGCCAGGTCAAACAGCTCCTTGATTCTTTCTTGCTGCAAAATTATACGAGGCTGTTTTAATTGATATCTCACTTTCATGTAGAGGGCATTTGATCAAATGAGTAACAAATTTGAAGGGATAACGAAATACGTCATTGAGGAAGGTTAGGTTAAGGTTAGATTTGGTTAAGGTTAGATTAGGTTAAGGTTAGATTATGTTAAGGTTAATTACCTTTAGGTTAGATTAGGTTAAGGTTAATTACCTTTAGGTTAGATTAGGTTAAGGTTAATTACCTTTAGGTTAGATTAGGTTAAGGTTAATTATCTTTAGGTTAGATTAAGTTAAAGTTAATTACCTTAAGGTTAGATTAGGTTAAGGTTTAATTAGGATGGGTTACTTTAAGGTTAGTCCAAGGCTAGACCAAGTTTAGACCGAGGTTAGACGAATGTTACATCAAGGTTAAGTCATTGTTAGGCCCATTTTAATCAATGTTAGGTCAATGTTTGGTAATGCTAGGTTAATATTAAGCCAATGTTAAGACAGGGTTAGACCAGTGTTAGGTCAATGTTTGGTAATGTTAGATCAATATTAGGCCAATGTTAAGACAAGGTTAGACCAGGGTTAGGTCAATGTTAGGTAATGTTAGGTCAAGTTTAGACCAGAATTAGGTCAATGTTAGTCAACGTTAGTCAAGGTTAGGTCAATGTTAGGTAATGTTAGATCAATGTTAAGGTAATGTTAAGGCAATGGTAAGTCAACATTAGGTCAATGCTAGGTTAAGGTTAGGCAAGGTTTAGGTCAATGTTAGTCAATGTTAGGTCAGTGCTAGTCAATGTTAGGTCAATTTTATTCAGTGTTGGATCAATGTTAGACTAATGTTAGGTCAAAGTTAGTCAAGTTTGGTTAAAGTTAGTTCAATGTTAGGTCAGTATTATAGCAGTGTTACATTCATGTTAGGTTAATGTTAGGTTGTTCGGATTAGGTTGATCTAGTTATGTTACATTCAAAATCTGTTCCAAAATATTAACACACGGTTCAAACGAATTTAAAAAATATTATAAAAAAAATTGTTTATGATTTATGAATACTGTGGACAGTCGTTTGGAAGAACAGAAAGAAGTCCTTTAACGTATAATTACACAAACGATCCTCCCAATGATTCTCCCTTTCATTCCACTACACATCCAACGTACATCGAAGTAATTGTGTAGAAGAACCGGCTGAGACAACAGCTCGATAAACGAGAAACAACAAAGTTCCTTTTCGAAGGATACACGGAAAGAAAGCAAAGGGAATCCCCCATGAAACTCGCCCGAAGCTGTTCGAGCGCCGCGCAAACACTTGAACAGGGAGAACCAACAACACCGAGACCAGTCTAATTGATTGCCTTTTTTTCGAGGGTGTTCTTCCCTTTATACTTTATTCCGTATATTTGTAATGTCCTTCCTTTGTCATTTTAATTATCGCTTCTTTGTATTCTTTTTACGCTTCGAGGAACTATTTTGAAGGTTGGGTTAGGTTAGGTTCCTGTTTCTTTGTGCTCTTATTATTCTTCGAGGAACTATTTCGAAGGTTGGGTTAGGTTAGTTTCTGTTTCTTTATGCTCTTATTATTCTTCGAGGAACTATTTCAAATTCTGGGTTAGGTTAGGTTTCTATTTCTTTGTGTTTTTTTTAGTATTCGAGGAACTATTTTGAAGGTTGGGTTAGGTTAGGTTTCTATTTCTTTGTGTTCTTTTTAGTATTCGAGGAACTATTTTGAAGGTTGGGTTAGGTTGGGTTTCTATTTCTTTGTGTTCTTTTTAGTCTTCGAGGAACTATTTTGAATGTTGGGTTAGGTTAGGTTTCTGTTTCTTTGTGTTCTTTTTAGTCTTTGAGGAACTATTTCAAATGCTGAGTGAGGGTACCTTTCTGTTTCTTTGTATTCTTATGATTCTTCGAGGAACAATTTCAAATTCTGGGTGAGGTTAGGTTTCTGTTTCTCTGTGTTCTTATGATTCCTCGAGGAACTATTTCACATTCTGGGTGAGGTTAGGTTTCTGTTTCTCTGTGTTCTTATGATTCCTCGAGGAACTATTTCACATTCTGGGTGAGGTTAGGTTTCTGTTTCTCTGTGTTCTTATGATTCCTCGAGGAACTATTTCACATTCTGGGTGAGGTTAGGTTTCTGTTTCTCTGTGTTCTTATGATTCCTCGAGGAACTATTTCACATTCTGGGTGAGGTTAGGTTTCTGTTTCTCTGTGTTCTTATGATTCCTCGAGGAACTATTTCACATTCTGGGTGAGGTTAGGTTTCTGTTTCTCTGTGTTCTTATGATTCCTCGAGGAACTATTTCACATTCTGGGTGAGGTTAGGTTTCTGTTTCTCTGTGTTCTTATGATTCCTCGAGGAACTATTTCACATTCTGGGTGAGGTTAGGTTTCTGTTTCTCTGTGTTCTTATGATTCCTCGAGGAACTATTTCACATTCTGGGTGAGGTTAGGTTTCTGTTTCTTTGTGTTCTTTTTAGTCTTTGAGGAACTATTTCAAATGCTGAGTGAGGGTACCTTTCTGTTTCTTTGTATTCTTATGATTCTTCGAGGAACAATTTCAAATTCTGGGTTAGGTTAGGTTTCTGTTTCTTTGTATTCTTATTATTCCTCGAGGAACTATTTCACATTCTGGGTGAGGTTAGGTTTCTGTTTCTCTGTGTTCTTATGATTCCTCGAGGAACTATTTCACATTCTGAGTGAGGTTAGGTTTCTGTTTCTTTGTGTTCTTATTATTCTTCGAGGAATTATTTCAAATGCTAGGTTAGGTTAGTTTCTGTTTCTTTGTGTTCTTATTATTCTTCGAGCAACTATTTCATTGTTAAATGCTAGGTTAGGTTAGGTATCTGTTTCTTTCTATTCTTAGTATTCTTTGAGGAACTACTTCCATTTTAAATTCTGAATGAGGTTAGGTTTCTGTATATGTTCAGTGCATTTGTGTGATTATGAACATATATGTGATAGTCACAGCAAAGTGTCCATTTCAATCATGCAGAAGACGGCCATTTTGTCAACAGATTAGGGATACGACACGAATAAGAATCTCTACGGAATACAAGCAAGATTCAGTTACACTGTAAATGGTGAACTGAACTCTTTTGGTGCCTTCGTCTGAGTTGCTGTTCTGCTGATTCGTGGTTTCGGGATCCCCCTGGCACATCGCCTTTGCCCAGGCTAGGGCCTCCGGGCTGGCGGCCCTGATACAATCCACCCTTCCAAATGCGAATCTTCGGATGCCTGCGCTCTCGTATGTCGCCACCAGGTTACCGTGTAACCTGCAAATCAAATATTGCAAAATTATTTCTTCATACTTTTATATTTTTCAAAATGTCCTCTTCAAGGAGGTACATACATAGCTAAGACATTTATGAGCTTTTATGAAATGGTATAAAACATGAGGAATTAGTCTGATTGAAACCTAACCTAACAATTTTGCCTAACAATTTTGAAGCCTAAGCTGATTCTACATCTTCAAAGGACTTCTCCAGAGCTACTTGATAAAAACGAAAGATTGTATATGGTTTTATTTGTTCGAACAAGTTAGATGTCTTATTTAATTTTCAATATGGCGGCCATTTTACTTAGTGGTACCTACAGAGTCCCATAGATGTCTACTTGCACGTATTTCTAAAATTACTAACACGTGATTATACTGATACATGACCACATCATAATTAAAACAGTTCAGCAATAAAAAAATTTCGAAAATCACTCAATCTTGTATTTCACTAGAGTCTTGTTCACTCACCGGAAGTGCGTGAACTGCAACGCCAACTGAATATAAACGTCAGGGCTGATCTTGCAAGATTTAATAAACTCCTTCGAGTAGTCTTTGAACCACAAAATACAGAGATCCAAGTCCTCCACCAACCTGCAATTCAAAGCGTTATTAAGTTCAGTTAATATACTACTTTTCACTCATATTACTTGTCACTCACGCGTCAAACGATGTCATAGCGTCTCTAATATCATTCAGACTCTGCTCAGACAACTGCCACGTGAGTTTCTCCGGCGCTGGTAAATGAGACGGTATCGTGTTCTCTTCCGGAGGTGGCATGGCGTCCACTTTCGCTGTCAGTTCTTCGAAGGCGTCGAATATCGATGCTGCTTCACCTGCCGAGTGCTCGTAAGTCAATCCCCATAAGCCGTCCTTAAGTCACAAAAATTGATGTGATTGTTACAAACTTTATACGATTACAAATATTATTAGCAATAGTTTAGTAATTACAAGTATTATTAGTAACCGATTACTAGGATACTAGTTATAGTTTCACTGATTATGACAAGTATGGCTGCCATGGATGACAGCCATTTTGTTTTTGGCTCTTGAAGGATATTCAGAGGCACAAAGCATCATTACGTACTAATATCTATTTTAGTTACATAGGACTGTTCTTATAGTTAGTTATAGTTAGACTGTATTTCTATAGCTATGCAAAGTTAGTTCTGTACCTTTAGAGCAACATAAGTTTGGTCTTATTGTCATGTGAACTTAGTCCTGTAGCTCTAAGATGATATCGACCTAGTTCTGTGGGTGCTATGACCTTATGAACATAGGCCTATAGGTTCTATAACCACATAGAGCTAGTCCTATGAATCCTATGATTACATAAACCTAGTCTTATAGGTTCTATGTTCACATAGAGCTAGTCCTATGGATCCTATGACCACATAAACCTTGTTCTGTAGCTGTACACTTACATAGATCTCGCTGTCAGTTCTTCGAAGGCGTCGAATATCGATGCTGCTTCACCTGCCGAGTGCTCGTAAGTCAATCCCCATAAGCCGTCCTTAAGTCACAAAAATTGATGTGATTGTTACAAACTTTATACGATTACAAATATTATTAGCAATAGTTTAGTAATTACAAGTATTATTAGTAACCGATTACTAGGATACTAGTTATAGTTTCACTGATTATGACAAGTATGGCTGCCATGGATGACAGCCATTTTGTTTTTGGCTCTTGAAGGATATTCAGAGGCACAAAGCATCATTACGTACTAATATCTATTTTAGTTACATAGGACTGTTCTTATAGTTAGTTATAGTTAGACTGTATTTCTATAGCTATGCAAAGTTAGTTCTGTACCTTTAGAGCAACATAAGTTTGGTCTTATTGTCATGTGAACTTAGTCCTGTAGCTCTAAGATGATATCGACCTAGTTCTGTGGGTGCTATGACCTTATGAACATAGGCCTATAGGTTCTATAACCACATAGAGCTAGTCCTATGAATCCTATGATTACATAAACCTAGTCTTATAGGTTCTATGTTCACATAGAGCTAGTCCTATGGATCCTATAACCACATAAACCTTGTCCTATAGCTGTACACTTACATAGATACAGTCCTATAGGTCCTATGTCCACATCAGTTTGATCCTATAGTCCCATACTCACATAAACCTAGTCCTCCAAGTCCTATGACTATATTAAACTAGTCTTATAGGTTCTATGTCCATATCAGTTTGATCCTATAGTTCCATACTCACATAAACCTAGTCCTCCAGGTCCTATGATTAAATAAGCCTAGTTCTATATGTCCTATGACCACATAAACCTAGTCCTCGACCCATAATCACATGAACATAGTCCTCGTCCCACAATAACATAAGTCTAGTCCTCGTCCCACGATAGCATAAACCTAGTCCTCGTCCCATAATTAGTCAAACCTTGTCCTCGTCCCACATAAACCTAGTCCTCGTCTCAGGTAGACCTAGTCGTCCTCCCACAATAGCATAAACCTAGTCCTTGTCCCACATAAACCTGGTTCTCCTCCCACAATCATATAGACCTAGTCCTCGTTCCATATAGACCTAGTCCTCGTCCCATATAAACCTAGTCCTCCTATATACACCTAGTCCTCGTCCCATATAAACCTAGTCCTCCTATACATATACACCTAGTCCTCGTTCCATGTAAACCTAGTCCTCCTCGCACAATCACATGGACCTAGTCCTCGTCCCATATAAACCTAGTCCTCCTCCCATATAAACCTAGTCCTCCTTCCATATACACCTAGTCCTCGTCCCATGTAAACCTAGTTCTCCTCTCACATTCACATAGACCTAGTCCTCGTCCCATATAAACCTAGTCCTCCTCTCATATAAACCTAGTCCTCCTTCCATATACACCTAGTCCTCCTCCCACAATCATATGGACCTAGTCCTCGTCCCATATAAACCTAGTCCTCCTCTCATATATACCTAGTCCTCCTTCCATATACACCTAGTCCTCCTCCCACAATCATATAGACCTAGTCCTCGTTCCATATGAACCTAGTCCTCCTTCCATATAGACCTAGTCCTCGTCCCATGTAAATCTAGTCTTCCTCCCACAATCACATAGACCTAGTCCTCGTCCCATACAAACCTAGACCTCCTCCCATATAATCCTAGTCATCCTCCTACATAAACCTAGTCCTCCTCTCACATAAACCTAGTCCTCCTCCCACAATCACATGGACCTAGTCCTCGTCCCATATAAACCTAGTCCTCCTCTCATATAAACCTAGTCCTCCTTCCATATACACCTAGTCCTCCTCCCACAATCATGTAGACCCAGTCCTCGTCCCATATAAACCTAGTCCTCCTTTCATGTAGACCTAGTCCTCCCCCCACAATCACATAGACCTAGTCCTCGTCCCATATAAACCTAGTCCTCCTCCTACATAAACCTAGTCCTCCTCCCACAATCACATGGACCTAATCGTCCTCCCATATAAATCTAGTCCTTCTCTCACATAAACCCAGTCCTCCTCCCACATAAACCCAGTCCTCCTTCCACATAAACCTACTCCCACAACCCAAAAGTCACATATACTCCACTATAGCGTAACGTTCACCTTGCCAAGTATAAGATGAACAGTCTTATCGAACCAGCGATTCGCCCCCAAGTGCCTCGAGCCCCCGCCATGCAGCGCATGGTGGAGCACATTGGCGTAATCGCGATCGCCGATCCATCGATCCTCCTTGTTGTAAGGATTGTTGAACGTCGCTGGTAGCACATCGTCATCGACGCATACGACGCACAAACATTTCTCTAACAGCTCGAGGTTGTGACGGTTTCGTTCATCTGCAAAAGAGACAATGGCTGTCTCCATCGTTCATAAGTCCACTACTACTACACTGATGGTGTCTGACCGAATTCATTAAAATTTTATCGTGCTGCAAACATAAAATTAACTAAATTAATGCTGGTGAACGAAAGGTAATTCGATAAATTAATTTTGTTACTGAAGCGAAATTAAATTATTAAATAATCGTGATAACTGAATTTAATTGTTAAAAGAAAGAATTCTTTTGTTAAATTATTTTGAATAAATTATTGATTAAATTATTATTGAATTAATTTAGTATTTTGCTTTGAGCAAATGCTTAAATAATATTTTAAATTTGTGTCTGTTTATAATTAAAGTTTCATATGATGGAAGTGTATTCGTGAATTTTTGAGGTGAGGACGGTTAGCTCGTTAGAAGAAGTTTACTCGATTTGTAGTCGTAGGTCGGAGGTCCTCGTTGGGTTAGGTCGAGTTAGGGAGTTAATGGGAATATTGCGAATATTGGCGAGCGTAGCCGGTTAATTATAGCGGGTGGAATGGGCGTGTGACAAGGGTTACCGGAAAACTTGCCACGAGATTATTGCAGCCATCCGTTAATGCGTGTTCTCTGGGGGAAAGCATTGAACACATTTCAGAACTTCGGTGATAAACATTTCTCACTTGTTAGATTTCAACATTTGCAAGTTGGGTCATTTATATTTTAAAAATTGCCAATTACAAAACTGAACATGTAAGAAATTAAAAAGAGGTAAATTGAGGGTGGAACAATTAGAAGTGGTCAATTAGATAATTGAAGTTTAAGAGAAGGTTTAAGAAGGTTAATAGAATAAAAATTGTGAAACAGGAAACTAAGAAGTGAAGATTTAATTAATGGAAAACTTTGAAGATCATTAAACTATATTAAAGATGAAAAACTCTAAAAGTGATGAACTTTACTAAAAATGTGGAGAATAGGAAAATAGTGAAATTATTTAACAAAAATATCCTGGAGTCTGTCAAGTGTGTCTGTCATAATATGAAATTGTCTTTGAATAAAAAAGCATACACACTCTTCAACAACTCCTCTCTAGCTCTGGCCCAAACAGGTCTCTCAGCAGTTGTGAGTACGCCAACTGGAGGTGTTCTTGGATCAGCTTTAGCCTCCATGATGGTTAGAATTTGCTGGACCAGTTCTGATTCTGTTATTCGACCGCGGTCGGGAGCCCTCACTGGTACGCTATAGAACTGTCAATAATACGTTCATATTCTGAATTCAACATATACACATATTCTTTTTAATTCTACATATAAACATGTTCTTCTGAGTTCTACTAAAATTTAATAAAAAAAAGAAAACGAGAATGTCAAAACATTGCATTTGTATCGATTACTTTGCGTGCGAAGAGTAAAAATCAGTAAAAATATCTGCTGACGATCAGCTGATCCCAAGCCGCCATTTGCAATCGCGGTGTACAAGATGGCTGCCCAAAAGTACAATACCCATGTCATTCCACGAGTTGACGCGTGAAAAGTAAAAATTAATAAAAATATCTGTTGACGATCAGCTGATCCCAAGCCGCCATTTGCAATCGCAGTGTACAAGATGGCTGCCCAAAAGTACAATACCCATGTCATTCCACGAGTTGACGCGTGAAAAGTAAAAATTAATAAAAATATCTGTTGACGATCAGCTGATCCCAAGCCGCCATTTGCAATCGCAGTGTACAAGATGGCTGCCCAAAAGTACAATACCCATGTCATTCCACGAGTTGACGCGTGAAAAGTAAAAATTAATAAAAATATCTGTTGACGATCAGCTGATCCCAAGCCGCCATTTGCAATCGCAGTGTACAAGATGGCTGCCCAAAAGTACAATACCCATGTCATTCCACGAGTTGACGCGTGAAAAGTAAAAATTAATAAAAATATCTGTTGACGATCAGCTGACCCCAAGCCGCCATTTGCAATTCCGCTGTACATTTAAGATGGCTGCCCAAGAGTGCAATCGATGTCAGGTATTGCATACCACGTTTCAATTTTGAAATACTTCATACCTGATTATGGTGAGCAACTATGATATGGTCGCCAGATGTAGCTCTATCAAGTATAAGTTGTTCGTCGCCGTTTGTTCCTGGTCGTCTATAGATCCGAAACATTTGATAATGTTGCGCCATGCAGAGCGGTTGCATCGATTTTCCGTCTTTCGATTTTACACGTTGTACTTCCAAACCGCAACTGTATCAACAATAAATTATTATGGTTAGGTTATTATGGTATTATGGTGTCAAGCAATATGGGTGATTGGTGGGAGATTTAAGGAATTTGGGGAATTCGAAAATTTGGAGATTTGAGTAATTGGAAATTTCCTATTTGGAAATTTGAGAATTGGGAAAATTCCAAAATTGGGGATGTGAAATTTGGAAATTTGAGAATTGGGAAAATTCCAAAATTGGGGATGTGAAATTTGGAAATTTGAGAATTGGGAAAATTCCAAAATTGGGGATGTGAAATTTAGAAATTTGAGAATTTGGAAAATTCCAAAATTGGGGATGTGAAATTTAGAAATTTGAGAATTTGGAAAATTCCAAAATTGGGGATGTGAAATTTGGAAATTTGAGAATTTGCAAAATTTCAAAATTGGGACTGTGAAATTTGGAAATTTGAGAATTGGGAAAATTCCAAAATTGGGGATGTGAAATTTTGAAATTTGACAATTTGGAAATTTCCAAAATTGGGGCTATGAAATTTGGAAATTTGAGAATTTGGAAGTTTCCAAAATTGGGGATGTGAAATTTAGAAATTTGAGAATTTGGAAAATTCCAAAATTGAGGATGTGAAATTTTGAAATTTGAGAATTTGGAAGTTTCCAAAATTGGGGATGTGAAATTTAGAAATTTGAGAATTTGGAAAATTCCAAAATTGGGGATGTGAAATTTTGGAATTTGAGAATTTGGAAAATTCCAAAATTGGGGCTATGAAATTTTGAAACTTGAAAATTTGTAAATTTCCAAAATTGGGGCTACGAAATTTTAAAACCTTAAAATTTGCAAATTTCAAAAATTGGGGCTATGAAATTTTGAAACTTGAAAATTTGCAAATTTCCAAAATTGGGGCTACGAAATTTTAAAACCTGAAAATTTGCAAATTTCCAAAATTGGGGCTACGAAATTTTGAAATCTAAGAATTTGGGAATTTCAGTAATTGAAAATTTCCTAAATTTATAAAGAAAAAATAAAAAAGAAAGAAAGAAAAGGTTCCTCCGAACGGATACGAGTCTACCAAGGGTTTTCATCCTCCGTAGCATCCTTTACATTTCTCCAGGACGAATTCTGTCCCTTTATAAACGCGCCTTGTGCGCATCTAGCGAGCCGGATTTCCTCGCAGACTTCGCTAAATTGATTTCGGTGCGGCTTCTTTTTGTCCTTCGACGAATCACCCGCTCGAATGACGGAACAGTTCTTCTTCCTGCTATTCCCGTCCTCGGGACACTTCAATTCCCTTCTTCTCTTTCGGATTCTAAGAGCCGTGTCGGCGATTAGCTTAGTCAGCTTCCGCTCGGGCTTAAAACTCGAGCTGCTTTCGAAACCTCGAATCCTTTCGTTTCACTTTCTTTTTTTATCGATTTTACGTTCGTCTTCTATTTTCTTACTGTACTTTGTTTTGTTCTATTGTTTGATATTATTTGTATCCGCTTTGTGATAAATTTTCATCAAAATGATATAACAGAATGTTCATGACAGTGATTGCTAAAAATGTTTTTTAAAGGTACTTTTATTTAAAACGACATACAAGAATGTTTAAGACATTGATTGTTAAAAATGTTTTTTTACAAAGGTACTCATTTTTATTTAAATAAAATTGTAAATATTTTTTGGCAGTCATTTTAACATATTTTGTAGTTGATTTTAATTTGAGTGAAATTATAAATAATTTTAGAAAATTGCTTAAACTTGAACGAGATTATAAATAATTTTTAAAAATTGTTTAAACTTGAACGAAATTATAAATAATTTTTAAAAATTGCTTACACTTCAACGAAATTATAAATAATTTTTTTAAATTGCTTACACTTCAACGACATTATAAATAATTCTTAAAAATTGCTTAAACTTGAACGAAATTATAAATAATTTTTAAAAATTGTTTAAACTTGAACGAGATTATAAATAATTTTTAAAAATTGCTTAAACTTGAACGAAATTATAAATAATTTTTAAAAACTGTTTAAACTTGAACGAAGTTATAAATATTACATTCAGAGTTTATTTAGAATTAGCTACCTCAGGTATCTACACTAATTATGAGACACCCTATATATATTGCATATGATTAATAACATTGTCAATAATAATTGTATTATTGTGTTATAATATAATATAGTACAATATTAAATAATACATATTATTGCATTATAATAATAAATATTGTATTACTAATTAATAATAATTAATAATAATTAGTAACAATTTAAAGAAATTGAAATTATTACTATAGAAAGAATGATACTCACCTATCTAATAATTCCTGGTAATTAAGAAGTTCGGTAAGAAATCGAGCGAGAAACACAGCAGCGTCTTTCTGGTTTGAAAATGTTCTCGGTTTCGTTACGAGGCCGGGGTTGACATTAATCGGTAGTGGCAGAGGAATAGAAAGGTACATGTCGTTTAACCACCATGCAGTTGCCTGTCAACAAATAAAAAATACAAATTATATATATAATTAAATATATTGCAAAATGAAGTTTACAATTTAAAAAAGATAATAGAGTATCATTATTTTAAATAAACGTCATGTAACATATGATGTGTTAACAATAATTTATTATTATGAACGTTTATATGATACAAGTATATGAATATATATGCATTTTAAATTATTTTTATTTTGTATTCATGGATGCATATTAGCGATAATTCAGAGTTAACATGGTCATGTTGGTAATTGGTGCGAACGAGGAAAACGAAAATGAAAGGGTCCTCGTGGAACGAGACCGTTTAATCCGGATTTAATGACATGTCACGGTAATCCGTATTTTGTTCTTTTTCAGGGAAAAACTGGTAAGCTTGATAAATATTTGAATCTAGTTTGAAAATTTAGGAATTGGAGATAGGGAGGGTGGTCGATTGTGAAATTAGGATTTGGGGAAATGGGAAATTGGGAAATGGGAAATTGGGGAAATGGGAAATTAGGGAGATGGGAAACTCGGGAAATGGGAAATTGGGCAGATGGGAAATTGGGGAAATGGGAAATTTGGGAAATTGGGAAATTGGGGAAAGTGGAAATCGGAGAAATATGAAATTGGGGAAAGTGGAAGTTGGAGCAAGTGGAAATTGGGGAAAGTGGAAATGGGGAATTTGGGAAATTGGGGAAAGTAGAAATTGGGAAATGGGAAATTGGGGAAAGTGGAAATTGGGAATTTGGGAAATTGGGAAATTGGGGAAAGTGGAAGTTGGAGCAAGTGGAAATTGGGGAAAATGGAAATTGGGAATTTGGGTAATTGGGGAAAGTAGAAATTGAGCAAGTGGAAATTGGGGAAAGTGGAAATTGGGAAATTGGGGAAAGTAGAAATTGGGATTGGGTAATTGGGGAAAGTAGAAATTGGGAAATGGGAAATTGGGGAAAGTGGAAATTGGGAAAAGTGGAAATTGGGGAAAGTGGAAGTTGGAGCAAGTGGAAATTGGGGAAAGTGGAAATGGGGAATTTGGGAAATTGGGGAAAGTAGAAATTGGGAAATGGGAAATTGGGGAAAGTGGAAATTGGGAATTTGGGAAATTGGGAAATTGGGGAAAGTGGAAGTTGGAGCAAGTGGAAATTGGGGAAAATGGAAATTGGGAATTTGGGAAATTAGGGAAAGTAGAAATTGGCAAATGGGAAATTGGGGAAAGTGGAAATTGGGAAAAAGAGGAAATTGAGGAAAGTGGAAATTGGGAAAATTGAAAATTAGAAAAATAGGAAACCGGGAAAATTGAAAATGTGGAAAATTGGAAATTGGAAAAAGGGGAAATTGGGAAATCGGAAATTGTAGAAATAGGAAATTGGGAAAATGTACTTTATCCATGTACCTACCATACAAATTCCTAAATCAATAACATTATAATCACCCAACCAGAAAGAAAACCGTCATGGAAATATCATACATAGTGTCTTACTAAGTCGATGAAAATAGTCACCGATACGAATAGAATTACTTTCTATTTTAACGCGGTGCATACGTGTCACAACAACGAGAAATGACATGATTCTTTTTTAGCATCGACTTCATTTGCTTTCTATAGCCGTGTTCGCAAAGAGAGAGACAGAGAGAGAGTTAATCTATTATAAGTATGTGCAAACGTTGTGGGTGATCGGTGCTGGTATGGTCAGAGAAGTTGTGGTTAGAGAAGTTATTATGAGTTGAATTCGTGATAGGAATACGTACGAGGCTTTAGTTGGCGGTTCAGAGTAGATTTAGTAGAATGATTTATTAAAGTGTAGATTTTGGAAATTTTGCAAATTTATACTTTGTGAAGTTTTTACTTTACTTTTTCCTTGGAAGTATGCATTTGAAAACTTGAAAATTTGAAAACTTGAAAATTTGGAAATTTGAAAATTTGAAAACTTGAAAATTTGAAAACTTGAAAACTTGAAAACTTGAAAACTTGAAAACTTGAAAACTTGAAAACTTGAAAACTTGAAAACTTGAAAACTTGAAAACTTGAAAACTTGAAAACTTGAAAACTTGAAAACTTGAAAACTTGAAAACTTGAAAACTTGAAAACTTGAAAACTTGAAAACTTGAAAACTTGAAAACTTGAAAACTTGAAAACTTGAAAACTTGAAAACTTGAAAACTTGAAAACTTGAAAACTTGAAAACTTGAAAACTTGAAAACTTGAAAACTTGAAAACTTGAAAACTTGAAAACTTGAAAACTTGAAAACTTGAAAACTTGAAAACTTGAAAACTTGAAAACTTGAAAACTTGAAAACTTGAAAACTTGAAAACTTGAAAACTTGAAAACTTGAAAACTTGAAAACTTGAAAATTTGAAAACTTGAAAATTTGAAAATTTGGAAATTTGAAAATTTGGAAATTTAAGAATATAAAAACTTGCAGATGTACAGATCTACTACTACAAATGTACAAAAATGTAATCTCTAAATTTGTAAAATTGCATCTCTTCCAAATACCTCATCCACGCCATCTTAGTGCCATCACTAAAAAACGCAACAGCGATCCCCAACTTTTGAACGACAATGTATGCAAATGGCGTAACGGTGCTCACGACTCAACGATACTTTCGCGGTTCGGTTTATCGGGTTCACGGGAATCAAAGCAACCGGCGGAAAAATCTTGCTCTACAAGCGTGTTCCACAAAGTTTCGTCGGGTCGATCTTGCGTTACAGCAAGACACAAAGCGTGTAACGTTGCGCGTCTCTTGCACAATTCACCCGCGATCTACCATCAGCCGCAGAAAAAACATGCTTTCGAAACGTCTTTCTTCCGAAATCTTCATCTACCTCTTGAAATTCTAACAAATGTTACTGCTTCTTTATATGTTTATTGCTTTTCGACGGAGTGAGCACATCCTGATCAGTTTAGAGATACTCCTACACCTGGAGGATAGGACAATTGTTTTATTTCAGTGGCTGAGATCGAGGATTTATATTTATTATCACTTGTGTTTAATATTATTTATAATATCATTTTTTTAAAATTATTTAGCGGATTTGTATTTTACATTATTTATGTATTTTTGTATGTATGCATCAAATTTTTAAATTTTCAAATTTCCGGGTTTCCGAATTTCCAATTTCATCATTTCGTAATTTCCTAATTGTTAAATTCTCAGATTCTCAAGTTTCCAAATCTTCTAATTTTCCATTTCTCAATTTCCCCATTTCCTAATTTCCCAATTCTTAAGTTTCCAAATCTCCTAATTCTCCACTTCTCAATTTCCCCATTTCCTAATTCCCAGATTCTTAAGTTTCCAAATCTTCTAATTTCGCACTTCCCAATTTCCCCATTTCCTAATTTCCCAATTCTCAAGTTTCCAAATCTCCTAATTCCCCACTTCTCAATTTCCCCATTTCCTAATTTCCCAATTCTGTGATTCCCAGATTCTTAAGTTTCCAAATCTTCTAATTTCCCACTTCCCAATTTCCCCATTTCCTAATTTCCCAGTTTTCAAGTTTCCAAATCTCCAAATTCCACACTTCCTAATTTCCCAATTTTCAAATTCCCAAATTCACAAGTTTCCAAATCTCCTAATTTCCCACTTCTCAGTTTCTCATTTCCTAATTTCCCAATTCTCAAATTCCCAGATTCTCAAGTTTCCAAATCTCCTAATTTCCCACTTCTCAGTTTCTCATTTCCTAATTTCCCAATTCTCAAATTCCCAGATTCTCAAGTTTCCAAATCTCCTAATTTCCCACTTCTCAGTTTCTCATTTCCTAATTTCCCAATTCTCAAATTCCCAGATTCTCAAGTTTCCAAATCTCCTAATTTCCCACTTCTCAGTTTCTCATTTCCTAATTTCCCAATTCTCAAATTCCCAGATTCTCAAGTTTCCAAATCTCCTAATTTCCCACTTCTCAGTTTCTCATTTCCTAATTTCCCAATTCTCAAATTCCCAGATTCTCAAGTTTCCAAATCTCCTAATTTCCCACTTCTCAGTTTCTCATTTCCTAATTTCCCAATTCTCAAATTCCCAGATTCTCAAGTTTCCAAATCTCCTAATTTCCCACTTCTCAGTTTCTCATTTCCTAATTTCCCAATTCTCAAATTCCCAGATTCTCAAGTTTCCAAATCTCCTAATTTCCCACTTCTCAGTTTCTCATTTCCTAATTTCCCAATTCTCAAATTCCCAAATTCTCAAGTTTCCAAATCTCCAAATTCCACACTTCCTAATTTCCCAATTCCCTAATTTCCCAGTTTTCAAGTTTCCAAATCTCCAAATTCCACACTTCCTAATTTCCCAATTCTCAAATTCCCAGATTCTCAAGTTTCCAAATCTCCAAATTCCACACTTCCTAATTTCCCAATTCTCAAATTCCCAAATTCTCAAGTTTCCAAATCTCCAAATTCCACACTTTCTGATTTCCCAATTTTCAAATTCCCAAATTCACAAGTTTCCAAATCTCCTAATTTCCCACTTCTCAGTTTCTCATTTCCTAATTTCCCAATTCTCAAATTCCCAGATTCTCAAGTTTCCAAATCTCCAAATTCCACACTTCTTAATTTCTCAACTTCCAAATTTCCTAATTTCCCAACTTCCTAATTTCTCAACTTCCTAATTTCCTAATTTCTTAGTTGCCCACTTCCCAAATTCTAAAATACATTCTACCAATTTACCAAGCCATAAACAACTGTCACAAATAACCATTGCAATCATTTTTGAAATCGATTTTTCGCACAATAAAACATTTGCAAATAACCATTAAAAAGTTTCCTATTATACATTCATTCAAACGTTGAATCCAAATGTTCACTTCGTGTTGACAAAGCGAATAACATCAAAGTAGATTTAAAGAAGAGAATCCTCCATGATAATTAATGGCAGCCAGACAGTCCTCGTCCACGTTAGAAGAAGACAATCGGACATAATGCTATCAAGCACATCATCGCGCGTAAAGCACGTCTATTACTTCTATTACGTCCTCCTCAGAAGGCTGATTACACGACTGCATTTTGCTCATCCGTTTGCT